AAAATGATTATGTTAAGGAAGTAATCAAAGAGTGCAAATGTAAAACTCTTAGGATAAGCTATGTTAAAGAGAGGTTTAGGATAAAGCTGATGACTTTAGGGTGTTAGGAAGCTGAAGGAGAAGAGAAAGAAAGGAAAGGTTAACTGCTCTTAGGGGTGTGTTTGCGAGAGATGAAGTTACGTTTTCGGTTCGGTTTTTCCTTTCCAGTTCAATTCGATTCGTTGGGAGCCTCTGAATAGGTTAGGCCTTCTCTAACTCAGGTTTTATGTACTAAGGACTTTATTTCGCGCGCGTAACATTCCTTACTTTTAATAATACACATACTTATATAAACATACATTATATATATATCAACAAAAAAAATAAATAAATAAACTACATAATGAAAATCGAGTGACTTGATAAATTTAATTAATTAAAAGTGCCATTTTTTTTTCTACGCGTGTATTAAATACGCGAGTCACGCCAAAGGAACAAGTGAATAATGGAAACAACTTCAAAATTTGTATTTTCAAAATGATAAATCAATAAAACGTAAAATGCCTTAGATATTTATGCTCTCTTATTTTAGGATATTCTTAGGTAGTTTTTAAAAGATGAAAGCCATCCAAAGCGTGGAGGGCCCGTATAAATAGAAAGACTGTAGTAGGGATACCAGGTGATCGAAAAAATAGTGGACGAAACGGCTCCACAATACTAAACAAATGATGAATACGAAACAATCGTTGCTTCTTGAAAAGAAATAAAAAAAAATGGACGCCGTTTCGACGTTGTTTTCAATTTCGTTATAGTTAAGTTATTACTTTAAATCAATTATGTTCGCATAATCCACCAGTCCAGACAAATATATATATATACATGTGTAAATAAATATATCATTGGTGCTCTTACATTATCATTAATAATATTATCAATGTAATGAATCTCTGTATTACTGTATTTTATTCCGTTACGCTTTACGATTGGGTCATTCGGTTTCGTTAACTCGCTAATAATTTCCTTTTTTAAAAAAAAATAATCAATCAAAACGACGTGCCAAAATTCGCTTTCAAGTTATTAAAACAATTCCTCATTACTTTATAGCTATTATTAATATTATTTTTTACGTATATTTATATGAAATAACAAGAAAAGTATATAGATATATTTATAATTTTGTTCTTTTATTCTATAATCGTTGACGAAGAGAAGAATAAGAAATTAACATGATAATTGTCTTGCTCATAGCGGTCGGAATCGAAACCGCGTACGCTTAACTGCTGTGTATATTGAAATTGATAAATGAAAAGAGATGAGAGAAAAAAAATGCAATATAATCATATTTATATGTCTGACAATTGTACAATTGTTATAATTTCATATAGTATATATTAATATTAACAAAATAAATTACTTAAAGAAAGGAAGAATGATGAAAATAGTTAAGAGTTTAGCTGTTAAGTCACATTTACCGTTAAGGTCCATAGGTTGTAAGGAAGGAAAATGAAGAAAAAACGTTATATATATATATAAACAAAAAAAAACTATAGTTTTAAACAAAAATTTGCAAGATTACCGTATAGGGGAAAACATATTGATGAACGTAAAAATACTATAATTAGTATATTATCTTTCGTGAGAAGAAGAAGAAAAAGAGCCACACGTTCCGAAATTGAATTGAATATTTTTGTTTCTCTCTTGTTGTTCGCATACTTTAGTTAATAGTTATATATGATTATTATTTGATTCTGTTAGGTTTTGGGTTTTTTTTTTTAATTTGTTTTTACTTTAGGTTTACGTTTAAGTGTGTTCAAGAATGAGACAAATCTATATGTATACATGATGAATTTAAAGACCTATTTCGGCGTCAACGTTGCACGAACAAATCCGAAAAAAGAAATATTTAATATCTAAGAATGGCGAAAACGTTGGCGCTCTCGTGTTACCAAAACATCACATGACTTAAGTATTTTGATTTTCTGTTTAATTTTATCGTGTTTTTTATTATTATTATTTTTGTTTGTTTTTTTTAATATATAAAAGAAATTTTTGGTTTTGTTCTGTTACTTTTCGGGATGTAATAAAACCAAAATGGCCTAAACAGTTCCCTCCTTAATAAATCTAGTCCAATTGAAACGTTTAAAGGAACATATTATTGTAAATGCGCCTCTTATATTCCAATGTTTAGCATTTTATTGTGTTTTTTTTTAGTGTGTGTTTTGTGTTTTTCCTCGGCGCGCGTTTTTCCCTTTCGATCGGCGACGCGCGTTTTTTCCTCCTCTTTTCGCGTTTTATTTTGATTTCGTTGTTTAAAACAATACATACTTTTGTTGTTGCAGTTTGACCGTTGCGTTTGGTAATTTCGGAACTATAATTACGAAACAATCCTTGAGGAAATGATAGTAGTTTGTAATGAAAATATTTATCGAATTAAAAGGCAATATTAATGATGGATGGATGATGATGATCATAGGTTATTTTTTCCGTTTTTTATCAGGTTCAAATATGTGATATGCTGACAATTTTTCTAAAAATTATCAATTTTTCTGGGATACCTTTAAAAGAATAAAAAAAAAACTAGAAGTGAAGATGAAAGAAGATAGAAAGAACATCACTCGATGGCACGAAGTGTCTTGTGTTTTGGGCGGCCCGCGAGGCTTTCTCTTTTTGCGTGTGGATGTGAGACTTTATTTTGTAATGATCTGATCGAGAGAAGAGCAAGTGGAGACAAGAGGCGGAGAGAAAGAGAGAAAAAGGGATGCGTCGGGAATCTCAATATATGATGGGGTGGGTCGTTGGACACGCGTGTCCTAGGGGGGTATACTCAGGGACCAGGCCAAAATGTCACGGTGATATCAAATATAAACTTAGACAAAATTATAAGAATAATCAAAGTGTTTTTTTTCGTTCTTTATTAAAGAGAAAGAAAAGCAAAAAAAAGTTGAATTAATAATAAATAAATAATTAAAGCAACAAAAAAAAAACAAGAAAAAATAAATACAAACGTGAATGTACTACTACTATTACTACTACTAACTGCTACACCCCAAAAATTATAATAAACAGAAAAATAAAGCTCTTAAATAAGAAGAGGTATGAGAAGAAGATGAAAAAAGAAAACACAAAACAACAACAAAAAAAAAATGAAAACATTTCAATAAAATTATAAAATATTATTATATTGTAAGAACTCAATTGTATGTTGTAGTATATAAAAGCGAGAAGAAAATCTAAAAAGGAAAAAAAGTTACATAAAATAAAATTAAACAAAAAAAAACAAACTAAAGTAAGGATGGAGAAGAAAGTGAAAGCTGTGAACCTGACCGCACCGTCTTTGTTAATTCTAAATTTTAAAATGGTTTTTTGCCTCTACATGTATTACTAATTAAAAATAAATGATGATGAAGAGGGAGATGAAGCAGAAACACATGCACACGAAATGTCCAATCACGTCTACCAATAACTAAATACTATGCGACGGTGCCGTCGGGGTCTCGCACATTTAGTCAGTAAGTCTAGTAATGTTAAGTGCTTTTAACAACTGTATTAAGTTGTATGCTCTGTACTTGTATAACCCAATTGACCAGTATGCATTCAGTAATAAAGGTTGTCTTAAATGTATAATGTTGTTCTGTGTGCGCCGACCTCTCGGTATGTGGATTGAATTTACCATTTACAGATATCAAAAGAAAACGTTTCCTTTCCATTTTGGTATTTGCGATTTCTGATTATTTAAACCCGGCACTTCCACCATTCCCTTTTTACTTTTCAGATTTCTAGATGTAGTAAAGGTAAGTAATTATGTTCTTTAATATAACTAAATTTATTATTGTTTTATACAACAAATATATAAAATTTATATTTCATGAACCTAAATAATGAAAAAAGAAAAATAAGTCATATCTTGAGTTTATATACCATAAAATACATATAAAACTATGACCATTTGAAAAAAGAAACCTAATATATGCAGATACTATTTATAAGTGAAATAAACATTATTTATGCGGCTTTCAAAGTCACGAGCGCCACGCCACCCTTACGCAACTTATATGAAACAAAAGTTACCTAACCGGGAGATTTTCAATATTTCGTAAATTGAAAGCTGAATAGCTCACCTTTCCGACGAGCATATTGGCATTTTCGTGCTGTCATCAAGTCACCTGCTATGTCCTATAGAAATTGAAAAAAAAGTGAATAGGATTTTCTTAAAAATCATTTTTTTGTTGAGAAACGACGAGTTTTCACGTTTTATTCTTAATTTCACGAATATTACGTATCTTTTGTTGCATTTCATGTTTGCGTAAGATGGCCATTACGCAATTTTTTATGAAACAAAAGATTTTTGCAATTTTTTTCAATATTCTGTGAATTTCTTGACAACCCCTTAAAGTAATTACATCTTCGACCACTCAGTTGAAAGCTGAATAACTCACCTTTCCAACGAGCCTATTGGTATTTTCCTGCTGTCATCAAGTCACCTGCTATGAGCTGCAGAAATTTGGGAAAAAAGTGAATAGGATTTGCTTAAACACGTTTTCACGTTTTTTCTTAATTACACGAAAATTACGTAACTTTTCTTGCATTCCATGATTGCGTAAGATGGGCGCCAATAGCGTTAGCGCATAGGTGCGCAGCTAGGGCCTCTTAGAGTAAGGGGAGTCCAAATCACCAAAAAACGTTATGACTTTCTTAGTAGGGTCAATATGGGGACACCAAATCAGGTGGCGCGTGAGTTATGATTCGTTACTAATTGTTAGTCTAATAATATACTCATATATGTATGCTTCAGGTATACCATGATCAATTTATATGTTAATTGAGTATCTAGATATGGATTGAATCTCTATAATTCTGGTGTACTGAAATTAAATTACGCATTGAGGAAATCAATATCACCTCTAAGTCTATAAAAAGAACAGAGTCTTTGAACCATGAGGCGCCATCTTTTATAGGATAGTTCAAACAGACGCACATTATTATTTAACAATCTGGACGAAATATCATGCGAACAAGGTTAAAAGAATAAGGTCACATCAAATGTATTCGTGCCAAATGCTCCATTCCTTACAGATCTCAGCGACGCACCATGGCCTTAATCTATAGGAACTTCAGGAATCTTAGCAGGGTAGGACATTTTAAGCATATCAATTCAGCAAGTTATTCGCAAAAGGTTGTGGCCAATGATGAGTTGGTAATAAGGAAGTTGGACGAGAAGGATGCAGGTGTTACGGTCTTCGGATTGAACAGACCAAAAGCCAGAAACGCCTTCAGCACCACACTTGTAGATAACTTAAATAGAGCCTTGGATGAGGTCGCCGTCGACAGCAACGCCAGGGTCCTGCTGATCCGCAGCATGGTACCTGGAGTATTCGGCGCAGGTTGAGAAATACTCTTATATAAGTATACCCGTATTCATGCGTTTCATCGTAGGTGCGGATTTGAAGGAGAGAGCCACGATGACCCAGAAGCAGGTCTCGATTTTCGTGACCAGCCTTCGAGCCATGATGAACAGAATTCACGAGCTGCCCATACCCGTGATTGCTGCTCTGGATGGATTGGCCTTAGGTAAAGTGCGTACTTTGGATGGGATGAGAATCATGGGATTGTTGCAGGAGGTGGACTGGAATTGGCTCTGGCTTGCGACATAAGGGTTGCTTCGATTTACGCTAAGCTAGGATTAGTGGAAACCAAATTGGCAATCATCCCAGGCGCCGGAGGATCTCAGAGATTGCCGAGATTAATTAATCCTGCTGTAGCTAAGGAACTAATTTACACTGCTAGGATCTTCGATGGCAAAGAAGCTAAAGAATTAGGTACACCAAAAGTAAAGAGAATTTCAAGGAAAATCTAAATTGGTAATGTTTGATTACAGGAGTTGTTAATCATGCTGTGGAACAAAACGAAGAAGGTGATGCGGCGTATGTGAAATCGTTGGATATAGCTAGGGAAATCCTTCCAAACGGCCCGGTGGGCGTAAAAATGGCAAAAGCTGCGATTAACCAAGGACTTGAAGTAGATCTGAAGAGCGCATTTGAATTCGAGAAATCCTACTACGCTCAATTGATTCCCACCAAAGATCGCCTGGAAGGACTACAGGCTTTCAAGGAGAAACGCACCCCCAAGTACATCGGAGAATAATTACTATTATTAAATATTATTATAATGTGTTCAATTTTTATAAATTGTTGTAACTTTTTAAGCCATAAACGCGATTTTTACGAACCTCTCAGTATATTGTTCCATTCCATTTATTATTGTTCGATATGGATGAAACGTCAAACAATCCAATGTTTACTAACAATCGTATAGAAAATGCAAATTTGCTTAGTAATCGAAATAAAATAACAATAAGTAACTTACCTTAAGTCAATGAACGAAATACTCTTCACGTGGAAATCGAAATATTATCTGGAATCGCTGAAGTTATCAATATTTTGACAATGTCTTTGTAAACAAGCATTTTGTTTTCCAAAGGTACCTTTTATTTTCTGCCTAGCAACCATTACACTTTGCATAAATTGACAAACGGGTTAAACGAAAGCAGTCTGGTCTGGTTTTCAACAAAATATACATAGTATTTCTAAAAAGTCAGTGGAAACATCTACAATAAGGCGTTATTAATTTGTTCAATAAAATATTTTATTTTTAATTTATTTACTACAAGTTTTTCTCTTTAAATAATTTTCTTTCATATTTTTTTTTTTAATATAATCAACAACAACAAAAATATATTATTATAAATATTTTTCATTTTTCAAATACCACACAAAGAAGAGGGAAAAAATTACGAGAAACGAAACAAAAATGAAATACGTTAATCCCGAATCATAAACAAAAATATTTACAATTATAATTTATTTTTTTTTAAATTTAATTTTCCGAAAAAATCAATTCTTCGCGTACTTAAAGATACTGGTTTCTCCTTCAATTGCATTCTCTCACTCATTGCGTTATTTTATACTTTTCTTCATTTAAATAAAAAGGTAAATAATAAATATTATTTACAATAATCATAGTACAAACTTATGTAAGTATACATATAAATATCTTAAATTAAGGTATCTATAAATACAATATTTCTAAAGAAACTTGCAGTGAAGTATTTTAGAGTGCCTTCTTTTGTTAATAGAAGTAAAAAAAAAAGAAACGAAAAAAAACGGGTGTTACTTGATAAAAAAGCTTGCTTCATAGAAAAATCTCGGCCGTGGCACTAACTTTGATGGAAACTCTGTTCTGGAAGGATTTTCTCTACTAAAGCATCAAGCTCAATTATTCAATTCACAATGCACTATTTCTTATCGGACTTCTTCCTCGCTTTCTTCTTTTCGAAGGATTGGGACTCTTCAGTCTGGCTGACTTCGGGTTTAGGTTCTTCCGCTGTTGGTTTAGTTTCGCTTTTAGGTTCCTCGACTGCTGGTGTTTCTTTAACATCAACTGGTTTTTCTTCGGTTTTATCGGTTTCCATATTGCTGAATTCGGCTGGAGGTGGCAAAGCCGGAATTGCCTCGATTTCGCTCTGTTTGTCGGCCGTTTGTTGCTCTTCTGGCTTGGGTTGTGCTTCCTCCTCGGCTGGTTTATCTTGCTGCATGGCTTTCAGATTGTTGGCTGCTTTATTTTCGAGAACCTTAATGCATTCCTCTATACACCGGATGGCCATTTTCCTTGCTTGCCTAATTGTATCCTTGCCTTCCGTTTCGATATTATCCAGCTTCAGTAAATTCCTGGTTAGCATTTCGTCTAAGTAGAGATACTGCTTGTCCCTGGGTTTCCCCTCGAATCTTTCTACTTGAGACATTAACTCGTTTACATCCTTTTGGATGTTTTGGATTAGATCGAGCGGAGTAGCCTTCTTGGGCGGTTCTTTATGCTCCGGCTCTTGCGGTTGTTGCTGCTCCTGTTGACGATGCTTCGGTTGTTCTTGTTGTACATCTCGGTAAACCTGCCTTACGTGTTCCTCCGGCTGAGCTTTTTGTTTGTTCACGTCTTCATGGTCGGGTTCTCGATTTATGAATTGCGTGAACTGCGACGGCATCTGTCCGAATATGGTTTCCGGTTGAACGTTCTTCGGAGCGACCGGCTCATCTCTGCCTTCGACGTGTATTGGAATAATGCGCTCCGTGGACTGCTTCTGCTGCGGTTGCTCGGGTTGACTAGACATCCTTGAGCCCATATCTGGTTCCGGATTCAAATTTGGTATGTTTATACTAGACACGAAACGTCCGAACAAGTTTGGGCGGTTTTCTGGAGGAGCAGACATGGATCTTTGATTGCGATTATCATCCACGGGTTCTTGTTTCTGGCCTAAATCGACCGTGTTGCTCTGTTGGAGGTTGGCTCTCTGCTGAGTGGTTTCGCCGTCAACTTGATCTCCTTTATTTTCAGGTACGGGTTCTTTGGGAGCCTCGGGTGGAGGCGCCGGTTGTTGCTGTTGCTCCTGCTGCTGCGGAGGTTGCTTTTGCTGCGAATACTGCTGCTGTTGCTGCGGATATTGCTGTTGCTGCGAATACTGCTGCTGTTGCTGCGGATACTGCTGCTGCTGCTGCTGTTGATGAGCAGGCTCTGGATGGGTCTGCTGTTGAGTTTGATGCGTCTGGTAATGTTCTGGGAAAAAGTCGGGATCGTCTGGAAATCTCCTGGGAAACCGGGAACCGAATCTGGTGAATCTGTTGAAAGGGTCACTCCAGGAGGAATCGCTGGAGCCGGATGTGCGACGAGGTCTACGCGCTTCTTGAAAAGAGCTCAGATGATCTGCGAATTCCGGAAATCTGGAGGCTATATCATCTAACTGGCTGAAACGATTATCACGGTCATCCCTGTCGTCAAATGGAAATCCCGTCTGAAAGGAAATTGAACATAATTACACAGTTGAAACAACAACATGCTGGAGCTGTTAATCTGACATTTCAAGCATTGCCTTATTTGGTGATGCGCGCAAGATGTGTCTGTGTGTATTTAACATATTGAGTTGTTGGAAGACTGTTGATAGCGCAAACATTATTTTATTAGATGAGGATGGATGATCGACTTACTTCAGAATCGGGATTATTCCTGGGCTCCACCATTGGGGAGGTCATGATAACAAACTGAATATGAAATTAGCACGATAATAGTTGATCTTCACTGTTTGGATAGCAATTGTTGCCAATACACTGAACGCGGGGCGACCCTGACATTACTTTTATAAGCGTTCGCTAAATCCCCTTCCATTCCTACTTGTTCTCGGCGTAGTTCATGGAAGTCTACTAGGATAGATCATTCTAGATACATGTGGAAAAACCTTCGTTTTTCCACACATGAATAGACATATCGAGCATCCATCGCACACGTGCCCATTATTATACAACCATCTCTTCCTTCCTCCTCCAAACACGAGATATACACCATTTTCGAACGAATTTCCCGAACGCCAAGTGCCGACCATTAAAGAAAATCCGTCGCCCACTCATCACGTTTTCGATGGTTTCGTTTGTTTTGCGACACGTCAACGCGCGTAGGCGGCGAGGAGCAAACCAATAACATACGACTTTCTCGCATTTTATCCAATTAAATAATAAACGTGGAACGAATCTCCGTCGAAAACAAATAATATCTGACCGAGTATGGTTTGCGAAGTGTTTGTCTTCGCATTAGGTCATGAAATCATTTCCATAATTCCCCTCTGCACAGAAACACACGTATCGCAATTATCCAGTTTCCAACTGAATGAATCTGACGTAAACACACTGCGCTTAAATTTAGATTCTTACCGAATTCAATTTATAGAAATTTCGTTTTGCCTTTAAAACAAAAATAAGATTCAGCAGCAACGCGTCGTTTTACTTGAGAATCACCTTCATAAATCTTCTATTATAATATTTCTAATCAAAAAGTTATTAATCTGCATAACGAAAAATGAAACAACGACGTACATTACAGAATTTACGACGAATCAAACATAATGACGAATTAATTGTGATTAACTAGATATTACCTAGTGCTTGCAATAATTGCCTATTGTTACGTGCAGCCGGTAATGGATCACCATAATTATATGGTAAATCAATTTACCATTCGTCAATATTACGTAAGGTGAGTTCTCGTTTCCCATTCTCATCGGTTTACTAATCGCATTTGCAGTTTCTTCTATTAAACTAAATTTCTATACGTTTCAAGTACATCAACCATATGGACTTATTCCATGTTTATATTGCAAGTATTAACGAAAACACTTAACGACCATTCCATTTTATCCATATTAAATACGATAACCTCGTAATTGTATAACTAATTTTATAAACATCGTTATATAAATTAAATCTTTACATAACGATATAATCTGATTAAAAAATATTTACATGTGTATCCAATTATTCAAATTAAGTGCATCGACCATATGGACTTCTTCCATATTTACATTACAACTAATAACGAACACACTTAATGAGTATTTTATCTTAAATAAGATAATGAAATAAGTAATTGTATACAAAGATTTAATATAATAATATCAGTTTCGAAAATATTAACATGTATTAAATACATGTATATACGTCACTTTTAATAATAATACTTGTTTTGTAAAACTGTTATATTATAAATTCATATTCAGTTTTGTCTTGTTGATCATTAAGTAATTGAATATTAATATAAAGTCAATAATAAACAAACATCTATATTACTAATTTGAATCATATTTATATATAGTGCGATTCTCCTTTAGACTGATTACCAAGTAATCTTTACTCACAATCGGAATACTTTTTCTTTAGCGTCATTTCTAATATATAAATATCGAACGCATAACATTGTAAGGGTAGAAAATATAGCACAAATTACATTAATATTTGTGGAATGCTTTCTACATCTAGAAATATATCTATGATTCCACAAAATAATGTTTGTTTAATTTTTGAAGCTCCTGTTATTTGTATTTGTTGAGCATATCTAGAATTTTTCGTCATGATCATAAGGTATTGGAATTTACTACATAATTTTTTTGATTGTGCAGTTCTTAGAAATACTAATCTAGCTACAAATATATATTTTGTGTGCAAACAGTCATTATATGCTATTTATATTAGGAAAATTAACGAGTATAGCCAATATTGTGACGTAAATCAATATTGAGATCATTAATGTAATTGGTGTTCTGTGTTCCATTATATAAAGTAAATGAAGATTGTTTTTTGTTGTTGTCATTGTGCTTCAAATAATACGAATAGAAATACGAAATCTTGAGTGAAACGAGTGACCATGTGTGATGGGAGCGCACTTGCTCTAAATGGCATTTGGCTTGGAGCGATGTTTTGCATGATGCGGTCTACCTTGCATTTCGTATTTATCGATGGAAAACGATAAAAGTCGCATGAGTCACCATCCCCGTGCAATTTTATCCATAAATAAATAATGAGGCGCCAAAAGGCGCGGTGGACTTTAAATAATCGCCGTTCGACCGGGAAAGAAGGAAAATAAACGGTTCTCATTCGAGCTGCCAAGGAATTCTTCCGTGACTAACTCACCACCCCGAGGTACTTCCCCGGTCACAAAAGGTGACATCTGTCTTCTAAAATGTCATCCATGATCAAAAGCATATGTCAATTGCGCTACCAACAGTCAAATTCAAACTTACCTATTTACCTGTTATTAATGAGTTAATAAGTGCATGCTTTAGATGTTAAGAGAGGAGTGTTTTTGCTGTAAGCTACAAAAATACTCACACACACGGACACAGGCACCAATGGGCAGTCTTTAGGGTATCTTAGGTATGCGTGGGGTTGGTATATATTTTAGTTAGAATCCTGTGGAAAAGAGAAAAGCGACACACTAATTTTACAGTTCTAAATTTATGAAAATAAAAACAAAAAGAGAAAAAAACGAAAGTATTTGTTGCAGTATCATATATAAAAAAAAAAAAAGAAAATAGAGAGGAGAAACTCGAAGGGGCAGTCCGTCTGACGTACGTAAACAAAGTTATGAAACTTGACAGATGATCTGCTGTTGGGTCCATTATGTGAGATGTGTCATTTTTTTGACGTTTTTATTGGGTGGATCGGGTGCATTTTTCGCAGTCACCTGGTTTCGGTGGCTGTTACGAAAATAAACATCGCGAAGGTTACATTCCTCGTCTCTCTTTCTCTCTTTTCGCCATCGCTCTTCTGCGCCCACTCGCACACTAATTTAAAAAAAAAACGTCGCAGACGAAGGGGGAAATGTGTTTTGGATAAAATTGCAATAGTAGACGAAGCCCATCTCTGTGGAAGGCCCAGAAAAGGTATCAAATATGCGGCGAAGTCGATGGACTTGGTAGTGAATGGGAAGTAGGTCACCCTCCACCCACACGAACCCCAAACCGGGAGAAGGAGGCGTTGGAGGAACAAAAAAAAAAAGGTTAACCGATGTAAAGAAAAGAAGGAAATATTACGAGAAAAAAAAAACAAAAGAAAAGAAAATCGCCCAAAAATGTATATATGCCAAATATATATTCCGCATACAATACATTAGTGAAGCATGCGACGAAGGTCTATCTATTTTCAACTTACAAATGGTTGTCGTGAAAACGGCATAATAATATTTCGCGTCCACAGCACTGCACAGCATAAAATCAGTCAAACACGAATTTCGACTGGAACCGCACGCACGCCAATAATTTCGACTTTAGACGAAGGACTTTTCTCGAATCTGTCGTTTCAAGATCACGAATTCGGGAATCATCTGGAAGTAAATGTAATACACTTGACTACCCAATTCGCGACACACGTACAAAGCCCTATCTCTTCCACGTGTCAGACGGAGACGAGATGTGTCTCGGTATAGCTGAAACCCACGCAAGCGCGATCGTCGACCATTTGCAGTTCTGTACACTTGGTATGACTGCAAAATGTCTGATAACTTTGATAACCGACCATTCGATGGCAGCATATGTCCATAATCAACGCATTTAAACGTATTCATAGAATAATTATACTTAATCTTGGAATATGCTTTATATTTATACACAGCAGCAAACAACAACACGTTACGAAACATATTTTTTGCGAATTCCCATGGCATGAATAATATTATCTCCAGCAGCAAATAAACAATACTACTTTAATTATGTTAATAACACTCACGAGACACCTGTCTATCTAGATTTAATTGCATTTGTTACACACTCTGTTATCTTTATTTAATTCAATTCTCTTAAACTGTCAGCGTGATATGCATATGAGAGTCTTCATTAAAAAAAACTCCTCTCTCATACAAAATAAACCAAGAAATAACGATTTTCCTTAACAAATGAGCAAAGCCAACATACAGTAAGTGTATACATCAACAATTTTCATTTCCTGAAACGATTTTCACGAGAAAATTACAATTAAACAATCGCCTTACTAATTTGTAGGTTATGTTTATAAACAGTGCCTTCAAATGTAAAAAGAAGAGCTGTTGTCAAACTTTGTTACAATTAATGCAATATTTGCAACTAATTTTCATAATTTAGAAGAAATAATAATGTACGAAATTTGTTTTCTCAATGTTGACAGATTGAAAATATTCTAATATTGTTATTATACAAATACCAACTACATTTCAATACTTCATTTATATTTATTTTTTTCGAACTAGGTGTTGTCATTAGGATAAGACGTTGGAGGCTGAAATTAATTACAAATAATCTGTTCTAGAAATCTGCAGATAAACAGTCTAATAATACTTATTTAGATCCTTGATTTACGATGATATTGCAAAATTTAAGAGAAGCCGTGGGCGGCTCACCATAAATAGAGCTATATAAAAAAATATGTATAATATATATATACTGCTTTACATAAATAAGGTGCTGTTATTGGTCTAATTATACCAGCTTTCTAACAGATTATCATTTCTTAGTATTTATGTTCTTTAATAAAGAACATAAAATAATACATCAATTTTCTGTAAAAATGAATCGTTTGTTAATGCAAATTTGGTAACTTTCTAATATAATTTGATTATGTTTAATTATAAAAGTGTGAGACTACTAAAAAAAGTACTTATAAAATATATTAATTGATTCAATAATATCAGAGGTTCTCAACATGTTTGTTACAATATTTTATAAATTTGAAGTAAATATTACTTGCAGCTTGTTCTACATTACGCATGATACTTTTGTATATTATCCAGTATTATATAGCATATATTCTAAACCCCTATGGACTGTTAGGGAAGTACAAGTGTGATTATAGAGGTACGAAATGTAGGGAACACCTGATCTATTTAAATAAAGTGCTGCTTATTAATGCTAATGTATTAGATATACGAAATATCAAGTAGACAATGATAATTAAAGACAATAGCTATATAAAAAAAAAATCGTTATATAGTATTAATTTGCTATTATTTGACTAGTTACTATTGTTTTTGTTTTAGATGACAAAGTTTGATCTCGATCCAAGCAAACAGCAGCAAAAGCTGACTGTAAAACTATTTAAGAACGTTAAGAACTGCGATGATTTGCGTAAGAAACTGATGTCTGGAAAGTTGGACTGCTGCATGATCAAATCGAAACTGATACCTGATCCGTTTCTGATCGTCGTCGCTGCTAACAAGGCGATCTGCGCCGAGAAGTTGACGACGAGAACGATCAACACGGAAATCCTCTTCAACCTGTCCATATCGAAGAACATCAGTCAAAGTTTGCAGCTTTTCGGTGCGGACGACAAGGAGACGGACATGTACGTCGCGACTCTCAACGAGGACTTCGATTTTGGAGTTATCGCAGGTGAGGAGGTGGATTTCGGAGGATGCCCGGTGGATAGGAAGCTGCTGCAGAAGACGTACAAGCTGAAGGATTACGAGATGGGGGAGCAACTTGTTGCGGCGATCTGCAACAAAATCGTTATCAAAGATTTCAACTAGGAATGTTAAAATGTATATAAATAAATGGTCGAACGAGTTCAATGCTTTTCGATTCATACTGGTATCGTTGCATAACAGTAGTTTACCCCCATGCGCATTTTAATAGTAATATGGAAGAAGGAATAGGAAAATATATAAAAAAAAAAAGGAAAGAGACACGAGTGTGTAATAAGGCTGCGTATGAACTTGGAATTAAAATAATAATTTCCTCTGCCAGGTGCAAGGGCACTCGAGTGCCAGGTGTATGCGAGAGGTATATCCTCTACTCTAGACTACCCTCATATGTTGCACACCAATTAAATTCTCTGAACCGTGGCAGTATTTTGTAATTGCTACGAACACCCGCCTCGAGTTCAGTGCATTTCGGACAATTGTTACAAGCGGAATATAGCAAAAAAAAATTAACGAATACTCGAGTCCATCTTCATTTAGTTTTTTTTTTTAAAAATAAGAATCTAATGCTGGAAGAGTATCGGAGAGTACGATACTTCTGTGTTTCTCGTGATTATTATTATTTTTCCGCGTAATAATTTAGTCGGATCGATTATTCCACGCGAGTTGCGCCAGTGGGGGAGAAACCGAGTGCACTACCCATACAGAGGTACGTGTACTGCTGGAGGAACCTTCCTGGGGGGTTGTAAAAATACACCTCAGTCACCTGCAAGCCTCTTTAACAGCAACACCGACTCTCTGCTTATTTTGTTTCGTTTCATTTCTTTGGTATTTTTTTTGTTGTTGTTGTTGGGAAACGAACTGAAGAGGATACACGCGCGCGTTGTTCGGTGCTTGGATTTTTCTACTTTTCCAATTTTTTGATGTTTTTAAGGAGAACCTTTTGAATATCATCAGGTAAGCGTTCGCTTTTAATCGCTACGACGAATTGCTACAGTCGTCATCTGAATTATTCACGATTATGAATTATTTACCTAGAAAGGAATTGATCTCCTTTTCGCTCACATGACAGTTCCCTCTCGAACCAAACGAAACTTCCGAATAAAACACGCACACCGGGGGAGCAAAAACAACAATATTTATCATGCATAGTATAGTTATTATAGCGAAGTGACATTGCTGTATTGGGCAAATTCATTAATAAATCATCAATATTGGATCCCTTTGTCTACACGTTCCTATTCACGTTCTTGCGACCTTTAAAAGTACAACTATTATTGACATACACGTGTGAAATATTCCAATGTTCCATCCTGCAATCAAATAATAATCAACACTTTCTATAGCGAGCATCCAAAAATATCTATAATTGCTTTTTATTCAAATATTTTTCTCAATTGCAAATACCTTTTAATTTATTTTCAATATTGCTTCATCTCTTTCATCGTTCAACAGTTAAAAAGTCTCCACGCAAAACGTACTTAGTAACTTGTGAAGTTTCCGCGCAGATTCTAGTACATCGTAAAATATGCGTAGATTTTACACCATTTCACACGTACTTGTTACTTGCGATGTATCAGCTCATTATAAAACTTGCAAACAAATTGAGAATGTTAAAGGTACCTGCTCCTTCTTTTTACTTACAACGAAAGAGCACTTACCTCTAATGCTTATTATTTCTTCACTTTTGTTAAGTTAACTTAAACACGAAATTTAACCTTTATGTGTTGAAAATATGTAAAATAAAGAGAATATATCAAAAATAATCTATTTTTCATAAATAAAATAAAACATTTAATGTTATAGTTTCATTTTGAATATTATAATATATTAATATACATAATTTTTTCTATGAATTATGAGATTTTTAATTAAGTTTGCTAAAACTTTGATTATATACAAATTTGCAATTCAACCTTCAATGATTGATCAATCTAGTAAATAATCAATTTGATATAAGGACTAAATTTAATCCTAATTTGGATATTGAATGGTATTTGCCAAGAGAATTTTGTGTGATTTTTTTTGTGTGGACTATATTTGAAATTTGTTCATATGTTTTGTATAACTTTATGTATGTTAAGTTATTTAAAAAAATATTGCAATTAACACTAATTTTGAAGATGTTGAAGGAGTTAATCGTTTTTTATTCGCATGATTAAGGTTTAATGTATGCAGTCTAAATTGGTGTATTAGATAAATTGGGTGAATGCGGCAAAAAGGGAAGATAGGCAGATCTAAATTGCCGTTCGCTTGAAGCAATTTTTGCTCCCCCACAACTGTATGTTGTTGTGTGCTGTGCATTCGTGCCAGTGTTATTTATTATTTGCTGTGTGTCCACAATACATCCGAGGGTACCAGGTATATCCCCCAGGTGTATAAGTGCGGGGCGGGTGGAATTGGATGATTGAAATGATTATGCGCGACACCATCGCCAATTTCCCTCTTCCTATCCTCACCGAAGGGATACAATATAACAACAGCAGAAAAAAAAAAAGAAAACTGGACAATATGATAATAAAATGAACTCTTGATTGAATCGAGCACCTGTCCACGTTCTCGCACCCTCGACCACCCTCGCCACCTCTCCTCTCAAGCGCCCCTTCAACCAATGAGTTAATGGCTTTCTAGTAGACTAGCGTACTTAATGGAAATCTATTATTCATCCATCGTAAAGAAAAGGAAAGAAAGGAAAAGCGAATCGATAGAATTGGAAACCCCCTTTTATTATCATTACTTTTTTTTTATTATTATTATTCCAAATTAAGGAAATCTTCTCCGTTTTATCAAACTCGTGCAATTAATTCGTGCGAGAGGGAACGTGTGATTGAGGTGGTCGATGTAATGAGCCCTCCCTTTCACACAAAAGGGGAGGCCCGAGTTCGATGAAATCCACGGCACGCTATCTATTTCTGACCGTTTCCACTTTAGATATGCACACATATTTTTTTTTCCTTCTAAGCTTCATCTGATTGCCTCTGGACTTGCTCATTCTCTATTGCGTTTCTGGAGGGTCTCAACCTTTGAAATTCGTGCGAAATCGCAGAGGTCGTCCTCCCAAAGGGGGTGGTGGTGGTTGGCGGTAGAGGTAGTTTAAATAATTCTGTGTAACGGCGGAGGCAAAATATTGATCGGCCTCCTGGGAATGTGGTCATTTGGTGACGTCATCGCGGTCGAATCGACCGGCCCTCGGCCGCCCCACGATCGAAACGCCAATTTGTCGCGGCGCCCCCAGACCCCTCGGACCTACATCCATCCATCCATCCAACTAACGTTCCATCGAACTTAACGCGAAGAATTTCTTTGCAGGTTGTCGACGAAGATGATGGCATAGTGCTTGGCGCCATGAAGCTACTCAACATGTGCGATCTGAAGACATTGGAGCCCCACGAAGCCGACATGATGGTCGGGGACACCTTCGTCGCTTCCAACATTGAGATACCGGACGAGGACGTTCTCCGCATACCGGAGAATCAGTTCGTCAAGATCCAGTACGAAAACTCGAACGGCGTCATCAACACCGAGTACCTCTTGAGCAGTCAGCTTACCATCGAGCCGCCCTTCCTCGAAGACGTCAATCTGTACGAAGAGCAAGTGCCTTTCCGGATGAGCGAGGATGAACCTATGGAGAGCCAGGATTCTCCTCCAACCTCGACGTCCTCGATGCTGAGTCCGAAGAGCGTCGACGACAACCTCCCCGAAACCGATCTGACCAGCCTCAACTGGCTCCACAACATCACCAACATCATGTCAGTGCCGAATCTGCCGACGCCGCCCGTCTCACCCAAACCCAAGAAGAAACCTACAAGTAATCAGGAGGATCTCACCATCAACATCAACTTCTATAAGAAGAACGGCGACAAGAAACCACCCTTCAGCTACGCGACGCTCATATGTATGGCGATGGGCAAGAATGGCAACAAGATGACGCTCAGCGCGATTTACCATTGGATACGCGAAAATTTCCTTTATTACCGGAAAGCACATCCAAGTTGGCAGGTAAATTACTATTTTTGATTCTCTTCCTTTCATTCCTTGAAAACTCATCAACATATTAATCAATTAAGTTCATCAAAATTGTTAATCACTTTTAATAATTTTGACCCTATTAAATCCTTGCTTCACGCAGCTGTGATTGGCCTCATTAATACTTTAGTATCTATAGGGTGTGTCTCAGTGGGTCACATTATTTCACTAAGCCTAGATTTTACACCTTTACATTTTCTAATTACGTTTCTAGTTAGTTTCATCTTAAAATATTCGTATTTAAATTTTGAATAACTTATATTATTGATCAAAAAGTAACAACATAAATCATTGTTGTTCCAAAAGTCTGCAATCACTAAGAATATGATGATGTTACATTTGCAGAACTCCATCAGACACAACCTGTCGCTGAACAAGTGCTTCGTGAAGGTGGCACGATCGAAGGATGAGCCGGGGAAAGGCGGGTTCTGGAAACTCGACCTGGAGCGACTCGAGGAGTCGCGCCGCTCGAAGAGGAGGTCCAGTCTGACGGTGAGAGTGCCGCGACGCCATCCGCAGCCGGAAGTGAAACCGACCCGGAAACCGAAACGATACAGGCCGACTCAGAACAACGGCGAAAGGAAGCACAACATCCTCTCGAACATCTCGATCTGCGGCGAAACGGAGATCGAGAACTACGACATACGAGCTTCGACGAAGGGCAGCGGCGGTAGCAATAAAGATTCCAAGAAGGAAAGCAAGAAGGAGGAGAAAGTGGTTCCGGCTTCGATGCCCAACGAGAGCGTCGTCGCGGAGCCCATAAACGTCGCCGCTGAGGATGAGCTGACCGGTCTTCTGCTTGCAGCAAACGGTTGGGACGAATGCCAACTGGAACTGCTGGATTCGCTGCTGGAATCATTATAAAAGCTCAAATCATGCTCAATATTATTACTTTGATCGGCTCAACGAGATTTACACCAACGCCTCGAGTTGTTTAATTCCGTCCTAAAATACCAAAAAATAAATTAATTAATTAATTAAATAATATTAATAATAATAATATAAATAACATATGAGAAAAATTAATATCATGATCATTTTGATGTCGACGTTACACCGGGTGGTTTGTGCCTTCGTGTTTTATCACTGTGTGCGTAGAATCTATTTATTTCGTGCGTATTATTAATACTTAACGTAATTCTTCCGTCCAAAACTTAAAGCAAGGGAAAAGTGTTAATTATATTTGAAATATTATATTTATATTATATTGTATAACTGATTGATAATATCATGGAGATTTATATATATATTATATTTAGGATTGTATACCTGTTTAGTATTAATTAGTAATTGTGATTGTAAACGAAATCAATCCGTCCAAAAAAAAATATGTAACGGAGCCGCATCTTTCCATCCATTCCATTCTCAAGCAATTTCCAGTGAAACTTTAAATTCTACTTTAAGATTTTCAACTTGCGGGAGGAAATTTTGTACGTTTATTCCTCCTAATTGAAATTTGCTTGATAACTCGAATATCTTAAGAACGGATGGCGGAAAGTCGACCCGAACATAAATAATAACCAATATGTTGATATGTATAATACACCGTGCAAAATGATCTTTTTAACTAATTTTAACGTGACTTTAGACGATGCCCGGATCTGCGAACGGTTCTAGTCTTCAATTCTACATACTTTTGCCGGTGGAAAAGCGTGCATTTCGTCCATCGTCTAACATAATTTAATTAATCTTCTATTTTTATTTCCTCTTGTTTATTCTTATTTAGTTTACTTTAAATACCAAAAAAAAAAAAATAATAATCTGTACATATATATACATTATTTCTAGTCTTCTAGTCTTCAATGTTCCAGTCAGATAAACTATATATAAATAATATATTTTTACATGAGTCACTTTTGTTTCAACTTTACTGTATTGTTTCTAAGATTGTACATAGTTTAGTTCTTTTTTGTACCGTTTAAGGATCTAAAATACCGAAGACGAAAAAGCGATTTGGAATCGGTGCGTTTCATTTGTAAACTTTCAATGTACAAATAGAAGTGGTTACGCTTTCCGAAATTATTGAAATTGAGACTGATTTATTTATTTCTAGCTTCCTAACATGTTCATGATCCCTACAATTTTCTAAATTTAATCATATGTTCATTCACTATGAATCTTTAGATCAACTTATGAAAATAACATTGCAGATGACAAATTTAGATTTAGAAAAAAAAATACTTAAGTCATAACTAAATACAGTGGAACCTCGCTTAACGAGCATTTCGCTTAACTGTAAGAAAAATAACTCGCTTGAAGAACGTTTCGCATAAAGAGAAGAGAAGTCCCGGATTGCGCGCCTTCTATATCATTTTTAAAATTTATTTACACATATTATGTGTATTTTTGAATATGTTTCACTATACGAGTAAAAATCCGGAAATTTTGGAACGGATTTACGTTAAGCGAGGTTCCACTGTATTTACCATTTATTCAATCAACATCTATTTGGCAGTAAATCACATTCAAAGATGAAAAAATGAAAAATTAACACTCGAAAAAGCAATGTATTTACATTTTAATGCAAAACTATAAGAGATTGAAAACCCCTCCTTTCTGCAAAACATATAGTGAAAGGTAATTATTTAATGAAAGAAATCTTAATGTTCTTTTTTATCATTTTAACAAATCGAAATTACAATATTTCAAACCATATGAATGAGACTAGGAAATCATCACGTTCAAAATGCAATATTTTATTAAAACTATATAGACAACTTCATTCACTGATTAATGTGCTTGTTAAATAATTTCTCATCCAGAATTTTCCCAAATTTCAAAGACACTTTCAGCATCGTTTTGGTGTCGGAGAAAAACCGTAATTTAGTATATAACGTATCGGTTATTGATGAGGGTAGTTCAGAGAAGGGTACTATATCTGAGATGGGCACAATATCGTCCTTTCTTTTACCCCAGAAATCCAAACGGGATATCTTAACTTCATCGCTTTTCTCGTTTATGTACATGATTCCAACGAAATTCTTCGTCATTAAACCGAATGTGTGAAGGACCATACATCCCGATATCCCTGAAATTTTTAATTACAAAAAACTGTATTTTTTGAGCTATTATCAATTTACCAACAAAAACTGTCGCTATAGTCTGATCTAGTGTAATTACACTTGCTTGATTCAGAATTACGCTCAAGGGGATTCCTCCAGCGGTTGCAGCAGACTGGTAATACTTTATTCTGTTTACTATTGAAAATGTCTTAATAAAAGGGAAAAAATATACTGGGACAAAGTCGTTGTTTGGTTTACTGCAGAAATTCGCTTTCCCAATAAATTGCACAACATGTTTGCTTTTAAAGAGATTCCCAAGCATCTGCAATAAAAAAAAGACTTAGCTAATTTAAGTTTGCTACTTTATTTTCTAATCTCAGCTAGTGGAAATATGGAAATTCTAACCAAGAAGTATATATGCAACTGATTATACATGGTTGAGAACATAACATTACTTTAGTTCATATTTTCCATCAATGTTTCTTTTGGTTTCTTCGTGTTAAGTTCTACTGATTTCCAAAGACAGTTACCATTCAGCTATCCAGAGATGACTACGAGCGTTAAAATTAAGGAGACGTAAGTACTTACTTTTTTCTGTATTTAAGTATTTTTTTGTGTGTGTTGAATTTCTTCGCACAGTTTTAAGGTTAGTTTTGGAAACAACGTGCGAATTTGCTCATATAGTTGCCTATTGTTGAACTGCAATGATCTGTTTTCAGGTACGAGGTGGAATCAAAATTGGGGGCCTTCTATACTGGCGGCAATGTCGAATGGCACGAAGACAAGATCTTCTGCCAAACTGCAACTCACGTAAATTTAGTTGATGTAAACAGTGGAGCAGTCACTGCCCGGATAGGTTTGGTAAATGAGGACTCTGAGGCTGAAATCGATGCTATCCACACATTCACATCACATGGATCAACAATTGTCACATCACACAACAGTGGTTTGTTGCGACTTTGGTCTATGGATGGAGAGATGACAAAGATGTGGAAGTACATCCACATAGGCCCAATTGCTAAATTGAATTTGAAGGATTCAGTTTTGGCCAGTGGAGGAGCCGATGGTGTTGTGAGAGTCTGGGATTTAGAACACCATGTTTGTATACTGGGTTTGAGAAATTGCAGTGGAGTAGTTAACTTGGTGGAGTTTTCTCCAGATTTAAATTCCATTTATGCCTCAGGAGATGATGGTAAAATTGTGTCTCACTCTCTTCCAAAAGGAGAAGTAAAACAAATTTACAGTGGACATTATAGCAAAGTGACAAGCCTCAGTTTTCATCATGATGAAAAATATTTTGTCTCTGGTGGAAGAGATAAGGTTTTGATGATGTGGGAAATTGGAAATGCAACAGCTTTGAAAACAATACCTTTGTATGAAGAAATTGAGTCTGTGATCGCCATGCCTGAAAAGTTCATTTTGGGAGATTTCCAATCTGGTTCAGGTGTTTATGTGGCAACTGGAGGAAGTAATGGAATTGTCAGAGTTTGGGATGCTAAAAATGCTAAAGAAGTATATGTTCAATCGAATTCTTTAGTGAGCAAGAGTAAAGAAGAAGGTGGATTAGCTATAACGAAATTAGTTCCCAGTTCTGATATCAAGAGTATCGGCGTGGTGAGTGCCGAACAAAATATTATTTTGCATAATTTGGAAACGTTTGAAGTCGCGAAACAAATGATTGGATTCAGCGATGAAATATTGGATATTATCTTCTGTGGACAGAATGATTCGCATTTGGCTGTGGCGACGAATTCCAACGATATTAAAATTTACGAAACGTCCAGCATGAATTGTAATATACTAAAAGGACACACGGATATTGTGCTTGCTCTGGGTAAAGCGCAATTCAATGTTAACTATATTGTATCGTCCAGTAAAGATAACACATTGAGATTGTGGGACATTTCGACTTTGAAATGTTTAGCTGTTGGTCACGGGCATACGGCTTCTGTTGGTTCGGTGTCTTTCGCGAACTCCAACCAATTCATAGTATCAGCCAGTCAAGATACATGCTTGAAAATTTGGACAATTGACGAAAAGAACTTGGTCTGCGAGAAAACACAGCAAGCCCACGCAAAGGATATTAACGGTGTTTGCGTTTCGCCCAATGATAAACTGATTGCCAGTTGCTCGCAGGATAAAATGGTGAAATTGTGGACGGAAAACTTAACTGCTTTGGGAACTTTGAAAGGTCACAGAAGAGGTGTGTGGTCTGTGAGATTCTCCCCAATCGATCAAGTCCTTATGTCATCGTCGGCGGATTGTACTATCAAACTTTGGTCTATAACAGATTTAAATTGTATCAAAACTATAGAAGGGCACGAAGCTAGTGTAGTGAGAGCTGATTTTTTGTCGTGCGGTTTACAAATCATCTCGGCCGGAGCGGACGGTTTACTAAAATTATTCGATGTCAAAAGTGGAGAATGCACATCGACTTTCGATGAGCACGAGGCCAGAATTTGGGCTTTGGCCGTCGACAAAAGTGAGGGTAATCTGGTATCAGGTGGTGCTGATTCTACTCTGATCAGATGGAAAGATGTTACGGAAATTAAGAAACTCGAGAGAATTCAGGAAGCCGAGCAGTTGAGTTTAGAGGAGCAGAAACTGCAGAACTACATACACGAAAATAATTTGATTAAGGCGCTGAAATTGGCTCTGAAGCTCGGGAAACCGTACCAAGTATTAAAGATTATTCAGGGTGTACTGAAACAGAACGACAACGCTCTGACGGATGCTATCAAAGAGCTAAGGAATGACCACAAAGAGTCTTTGCTTAAGTGCTGCATGGATTGGAACACCAATAGCAGAAATTGCCAGGCGGCACAATTGGTTTTGAACATTCTGATTAACGAGGTGCAGAGCGGAGAATTTAGGCCTGTTGGATTGAGCGGCTCGATAGAATCCGCTTTACCATACACCGAAAGACATTTTAAGAGGGTCACTCAGATGGTCCAAGATTTCCACTTCATTGATTATACCATAAACTGTATGCTTCCTCATAGCAAAGTCAATAAATAAGATATTATTAATTAATTTTTAAAGCCTTATTTTTATTTATATAACCTTATGATATATTAAGTTAAAAACTTTAAGTATCAAACTTTTCCGAAATAAAATGTTTTTTTTTAGATGGGTTCTAAAGAATAAGAAAAATACTCAAAATTTAGATTGTACCAACTGTAACAACAAATACTAATTAGTTATTTTTTTATTATTATTTTCTTATTATATATACAATCGCAATCGTCTAAAATGACTCCATTGTTAGATACAGCAATTAAAATATTGTTGTCCATCGTCCCCTAATCTTTTGCTACAACAAAAGTGGGACGTATATAACATTAATTTTGAACAGATGGCGCTCTATTAAAAAAAATGTACATACAATCTCAGGACGAATAGTTGGAATATTGAATTACGAAATAAACATATTTTTATATATTTATACATATATGAAAGAAAACATGATAACTATTACGATTCAGCGGTTCCCTAACTAATTTTCTTGCCCTCTACTTACATAATTTTAGTTTAAAAGTTATTAATGCACTAGCTAACTATCAATCATTGACCGTCGATAAACGAAATGTTACGAACAGAAATACGAATACGTACGCAGACCTAAACAAGAGGGATTTTTCTCATTTGAGTGTGTTCATCTCACTATAAATACAATAAATAAATCGAGCACCATCTATCAAGGCTCCCATTCGCGTTTCGGAACCGCTGATGCAAATAACAAAAGTTTCTTCACGTTGTTTGATCAAATTAAGTTTGTTGTTGCTGTTGTTGTTTTCTCGAGTCTTCCGTTCCCCTAATTATATAGTACACTATAATTATTTGTTTTTTTTTTGCTTGTCTAAATAAGGAATGTCTCATTGGTGGTTTCAACTTTCGGGGGGCTGGAAATCACTCGCGAGGCGAGGGAGAAAGTACTTTCATTGGAGGTTAGTGGTAAAAGCACTCACACCATTATTGGTCATTTCGTCCATTATCTTCGAAACGTACTCGGCCACATCGATATTAGTTGAGTTCGCCTTTTGAATGAAAGGCATCTCCATAAGTTTATTGTACTTTGGTCTCTTTGTTTCATCTTTGATCAAACTGAAATAGCAATAGGATTAGAAGAAGTGCTTACGATATTGTACGATAGTTACCAAGTATTGACGAACTGTACGAATTCTTGTGAAAACGTGTTGCCATTGGTAGAGAGCTGCGGCGGTTCCCCATTGACAACCTGATGCAACTGATCGAAGACACTGGACCAACGTGGATATGGGAAATGACCGGTGGCAACTTCAATCAGTGTTATACCCAACGACCAGACGTCGCTCCTAACATCATAACCAGGACATCCCTGAGGATCTATCCTTTCAGGCTGAATCACAATTAAAGTCAGATAGTTTGCAGTAAACTCATTAAATACGAACTTACCGCCATGTATGGTCTACAACCAGCGTCTCTTGTTTTAGCTATTGAATCCACCAACTGTCCTGAAATCCCGAAATCACATAGCTTGATGTTTCCGTGCTTGTCCAGCAAGATATTGCTCGGTTTAACATCTCTGTGGATGATCTTCAGCTCTTCTTTCAGATAGTTGAGTGCCAGCACCGTGGCGACGGTGATCTTTCCAATGATCGCTTCCGGTATTCTGTCGCTCAGCTTCTCGTATATAAACTTGTAGAACTTGTCCAGCGACGTGTCCATCACTTCCATGCAGATCCAGCAGTCGCCTTCTTTGAAGAGCGCACCGTAGAACTGCACGATGTACGGACACTCGTTGCTCCGCATGACCACCTCAAGATCCATCAGCAACTGTTTCTGCTCTTTCTCGTCCACAGTTGAGCGAATTCTTTTTACAGCCAACTCATGATTCGACAACTTGTGCACCATTTTATTCACAGTCCCAAAACCTCCTCTGCCGATCTCCCCCAGATCTTGCAAATCCTCCGACGTGAATTCGTACTTTTCGTTCTGGCTGAACTTCAGTTTCCCCGTCGACTGAATCTGGTGCGGGATTCTAAACTTCGGTTCCTTAAAACTACACATACCGAGCAATCAATACTCAATTACCAATCAAAACATCTATCACACAATTAATATAACTTGTCAATATCAAAGTGCTCAAAATAATTTAGATTTGTGTAGATCAATAACAAAACACAACATGCACAAAATTAAGTTAGTATAAATCAAAATTAGTAAATAATAATTATCATTTATAGATAATATACTTTCTTAGGAATATATGTATTATTTTTTTCATACACTAATTCGGTAATATCTAAATTTAAACGATATAAAAGAGTTACGAAGAATTTTTGAATTATTTTTAAATCAAATGTTATTTATATTCAATATTTAAAAATAAATATTTCAACAAGATCAAATTTTTTATATTTCAGTATTTGTTTCGTCGATACATGAAGCTATGATGATCGTACTTTAAGAATCTCTCAATTAAATGAATAATATTGTTGTTTCTATCAGTATAATAAATTGATTAACAAATTATAAGCTTTGAAAAGAAGCTATTTGTTAAGGATGTTAAAAGTTATTTGATTATTAAGTTTTTAAGACTGGAAAGTAATGTGCAAATTTAGTTTGTTTTTTTTTTATAGTAAATCAAAGCCTACAGTTTAGAGAAGTTGTGAGAATAAACTAGCTAGAGAAACTCAAATAATGTGCATATAGTACCTGGTATATTTGCCTTTTACGTTGAAGCTATAGGAGAAAAGGTGAAAATGCAGAATGAAATGTTTTGTACAAAGGGTTAAACATGATATAATATATAGAACAATAATAGACAGTAGAAGATAAACTTACGCTCTCAGTTTCTCTGCAGGCAGTTCTAAAGGATTCCTGGGCAACAACATTGCCCTAGAGTTGTTCATGATGGTAGGATCTGTAATATTAGGGGCAGTATTATTTTGGCCTGGCAGAGGCTTAAAACCAAATGTACTATGCAATGGTTGCCTGGGGATATCCATACGTAAAACATTCCTACGCACTAAACAAAATACTAATTAGTTACTGCTTCCCCATCAATAGAAACATCATTGAATTTACTTATAAACAGAATGAAGGGAACAAGTCGCAAGCAGCGCCGCAATCCAATTGGATCGCAACGCCGATTACATGCAATAGCTCGCAATTCTACGATCGCTTTCTTCCGTTTTAAATGTAACTAATAAGTCTATTCTGATTCAGGTTATTTACCATTTGATGGGTTGCCAGATTGATCTGCCATTTTGCCAAAGAAAAACAATATTTCGTCCAATAAATACGTGGAATTCAACGAGAATGCGGTGCGACTAAAAAAGAAGGTTCCTGGATTCTACTGATTCGCCAACATAAAAAATAAATGCCAAGCAATTCCTTAAGCACTATAAAAACATCACTATTTGGTGCATCTTTCAGCTGGTTTGCTCTTTATTGTAATGATTGTAATCGTGAGGATTGGAACCGTTCTGATACGGAAATCTCGCGCGATTCTCACTAGGAATTCTCTGTTGAAAGTAGCGCTTTGTGGTTCAAAAAGGCAAGTTTATTGCTCTCGAAATTCACAACATACCAAAGCTCTTACATATACCAATGTATATACACTATATACATCTACATATATATATATTTACACAAAAATCAAGTGACACTAGGTATGATAAATAGATTTGAACGCGCATGCGGAACTATTTTGGGAAGGGAAAGGCAGTGTTGTCCTTATGCAAATACCCATAAATCAACGCTGTATTCCCTTCAAAACATGTTACTGCAATAACACATTGCTAAAAAAATTAGAATAAGTGCATATAACATTATATACAAAAAAAAATCGAATATACAATACAAATTTTTCCTGTTTTCATTGTTGCATACTTGAATTATAACTACATTATCCTTCCATTGGCAGTAGTCTTAAAATTTGACGTTAAGTCAATTAAAGTTGGCATTAGTCAAAAATGGCGCTAGTTAAAACGCTCGCCAATTTAAAAAGCGTTCAAATATTAACAAATAAATTAGCTGCTCTCAGGTAAACCGCAATTAAAAAAGTAACTTAAACTACTAATTTTCAGTATAAGACTCACTGCTTTAATTCACTACATTATTAGACTTTAAACTTAACCTATAAACTTGTTTGTTATTGCAGTGTGGTGCAGCAAAATGGAATGTCCATGTACCCACCTTACTACATCAACCCAATCTTTAAGAAAGACGCTCAGGTAGAGCTCTTTGAAAATGGAGAGGCCCAAAAGTTAGCCCACATTCCAACAAAGGCAGCTCTCATAGATCAAACCTGCTCCATTTACTATGATGATGACATAAGGCTCTTCAGGAACTACATTATGAGAAGTGGCAGGAAATCACTTGCCAGGGAATTGCTTGACAAAGCTTTTGAGAAAGTCAAGAGGTCTCAATTGGAGAAGTTCCACAAGGCTAAAACAGAGGAAGATAAGAATAAGATTGTGCTGGATCCAAGGGAAGTATTTCACATGGCTGTGGACAACTGCAAGCCTGTGCTGTTCCTAACACCAATCAAAAGAGGTGGTGTAAAGTATCAGGTGCCAGTGCCAATCACAGAGAAGAAATCCCAATTTCTGTCAATGAAATGGCTGATTGAGGCTGCAACAGACAAAGAAAGGACTGTCCACTTCCCAGAGAAGTTAGCTTATGAATTGATAGATGCCTCTAATAACACTGGGAGAGTTGTGAAGAGGAAGCAGGATCTGCATAGGCAGTGTGAAGCAAACAGGGCTTATGCTCATTACAGATGGAGTTAGATTTGTTGAATATATTATATAATTTATTTAGTAAGTAAATGTTTTTCTTCTTTTAAAATATTTCAGTAGATCAATCAATGACCATACGATTGACTGTGATGTCGGTTCTTCTGTTCAGTATATCCACCGACATCTGCGGTGTAAAATTAGTTACGCCCACCTCCTTCAAGGCTTGTCCTCTTCGGTCCTCCACGCCAGTAGCGCCCTCCAATGCTAAAAGCGTTTCTCTTAAAAGCAGTGCGGATCCTTTGGAAATGTTCAATAATTCGCACGATTCCTTAACTCTGAAATATGATATACATTATTATGAATTTTGAATGTTGTAAAAACGGATATTACTGCGTGAAATAGTTCTCTGGTTTTTCGCTAAATTGAGAGAAGAGCGGGAACAAGTTTCGCTGCATATCGTATTTCAACTGTATGGCTCCGCCGTCGTTGAATCGGTTCTCCAAAATTAAATCCTCGAATAAGTAAACGTCCAATTGTTGGGCTACGAATCTCCAAACAATCGTGAACAGTTTCTTGGCTAAAGATTTCTGCAGCTGATGCAAACGCCTTGCCAATACTTCGAACATCGGACAAGCGCTGGGTGTTAACGATAGAGTTCTCATATCTTTATGGTAAACCATAGCCGACCATCTTTCGTGCCGGTAGTCTCTGCTCCGCATCTTCGCCTCTCTATTAACAGACTCGGAAAGTGTACATAATAAGTCCTTTCGCATATGCCTGAATAATGAAAGGGTGTCGGCGAATACAGTTTCCGTTTCCATTTCGAAATCTGGGCTTCCGTCGTAATCCATCACCGGAATCGGATTGCCCGCAACAACTTCGTCCAGTTGACTTTTGTAGTAAAACAAACCTAAATAGTGCTAAAACTGGATGATTAGCATCGTTCTATCTTATTCGATTTTGAGGTATAGTTTACAAGCATCGCGCCCCAATCCATGAGGACGTCCTCCACGTAATGCGCTGTATTTGCGATCATCGGGATCCTCGATTCCACGACGTCGCCCTCTTCGGCGTTGACTAGCTGCAATAAGCGAATCCTGAAATCGTCCAGCAGATCCAACTGGAGTTCAAGGAATTGAAGCCTGTGACCTGGCTGCGGTAACGATTCGTAACGTTCCGTTATAGTTTGCAGAAGAGTGATGAAGGTATCGGCACAGCTGCTAACTTTCAGCTCATCGCCTTCTGTAATTAGAGGCTCGAAGATGTCCATAGCAGTTGGAGAGAGCATCGCATCCATCTTTTCAATAGCATCTGAAAATTTTCACAGTAAAATAATTGATTTTTTTATCCGATAAACATACATTTCTTCTCCATGGCAAGCCATTTAACAAATACTTGGGCTTGAGTTAGTACTGCCAAAATGCTGGGTTGCGTCGAAGGATAGGAATACGTCTCTCTAAGCTCCTTATCGAATCCCAGAGCCTCGTCGATGCAATGCGAAAAGGTGAAATCGTCGAATTGTAGATTAGGTAACTCGGAATGTAATTTCTCCACTGCCAATTGCACCAAACCACGCATAAACTCCAACTAAACAAAAAATAACTACATTAATGCAACAATCAGTAAATTGACAAATTTTCGAATCTACCTTAGCATCAATATGATGCAAACCCAATTTATCAATAACCGGTTGAATCCATTTAGAAACGAAATCAATATGATCTCTGGTCCAGGACAGGATTTGCGTGAAATACCATTCGGGTTTATCGACTCTATTCGTTTGCCGCCCACCATAAAAGTGGTAAATGAATCGTTTCTTCAACGGAACAACCAAATAGTTGATGGGTAAACAAAGCGGTGGAAAATCAGACAGAAGAGCTGACGTGATCACAGGCGATAAACTTTCATCTGGCAACTCTATTTGCAGCAAATATTCAGCTAACAATTGCAGTTTTTGAATATTCGCTTGTGACGGTGTCTGCAATGAAAAGTTTTCGCTGACGAAAGGCCATTTCAGCGCTTTCAAAACTTCATCAAAATCTCTAACAAAAAAAAGTAAAACCGAAATTTACAAACCACTCTAAATATTCCATCAAAGAACATACTCACACAACTAATTTATCTCTTAGAATTTTGTGCCAATAAATAATAGTTTCCTTCACATATCCCTTCAAATGGCAAGCAGTTGAATCTATCAAATTCCTACTGATCTCACATAAATTAACAAACAGTGTGATGCAACTTTCATCATCCTTCCCATTGTATTCCTTTTCCAAATCAGCACTACAAAAAAAAATTATAACAAATAAAATAACCAATTATTAATTGATTAATCACCTAAGTGCTTCAACTCTCTGAACAACTTTCATATATTGAACTGCTGTTTCTGTCTCATGCAAATCATTCATTTTCTTCTGGACATCTTTCCTCATTGCATCCAGCTCATCCAGATTCTGCTCTATTTCTTTTGTCAATGTCTCAGATTCATCCAGTGACCCATTAATACTTTCGACAGTGGAATCCAGTTTGTCCACTGTCTGTTTGATTGTGGACTCATCATTCTCTAAATCTAACTGGAAGGGTTAATTATTTCAATGAAAGTGCGGAGACGTAAATTTGCAAATTAATTACTTGTGCTTTGATCGCGTTCAATTCATCGAGTAGTTTCTGGTGGAGCTGCTTGCATTTCTCGTGATCCGATAAACTGGACCTGTTTTCATCCACGAATTTTTGCAAAATCTTCTTTTTCAAATCTGCATCCATTTGACCCATCTTCGATTTTTCGAGTCAATTGCAACTAGGTTATGTTGTTTTGAAAACTTCTGACAGTAGTAATACACGTCATTGTATGAATGTAGACAACCAAATTAACTTTTGTGCAATGAAAAGATGTAAGAAACAATTTTCTAAATATTTTTAATCTTGAGAAGTTGAAAATCTTTTAGCTACATTTATCATTTTTCTTATAAAATGTAACAATAAATACAAGGATTATCATGTATTTTGCTGATATATTTCTACAATTTCATATAGAATTTGAAATATAAGTATTTTTAACAAAAAATAAATATTATAATTATTCATATACTGATACGGTAACTGGCTTAAATTTTTAAAAAAATAACATATATTCTATCCCTTCTATTCCGAATTGAATTAATTATTATAAATTATAACATAAATATAATGACTAACAAATTTTAGTACTTGCAATTAAGAAATTGCGAATTTTAAAAAATTCCCATATTTGTAGACTAGTTTACTTCGATATTTTAAAAAAAGTATATAAGTGAGATACATACAGATCGAACTACCATCTAGTACTTCTATTATTGCTACATATAAGCGCAATGAGATATTAATGATATCATAATTAGAATATAAGTTGACACTAATTATAATATATAGTTTTTTTTTACCTTTTTTAATATATGTATTGTGCAAGTATGACTTTCCGTATGAACTACTTCATTCGCATCGATAAGAAGAGAATGTTATTTAATAAAACAATTTATTTAATCATTATCTTCGTCCAAACTCTCGTCCGGGTCATGCTCATTGCGTCCACATTCTTCGCTTGTGATTAATTCCATGATTGCCCTGAAGTGATGAAAAGTTAATAATCTGGTTAACAATAAGTTTGCTTATACAAAATACCTTAACGTTTTTATTTCTCCGTCTTCATCTGAAGACCAATTGACGTAACCAGGATGAGCCACTTTCCATTTCAGGAAAAGATTCATCCTGTCCCTCAAAGCAGCAATTATATTTCCAGTTCCCTCGCTGCACCAAAACCTCAACCCTTCGTTAACGCTAATAGAATGCTTATCATTCCTCTCGTTATGCTCCGCGAATCTATCTCCGAAGAACAAGAGTGAAAGTGGATGGACCACGGTTCCATCGTGGATGAAATCATTGCTCGATTTCATCTTGAGATAATACACGATGAGTGGAGATTCGAAGATTTCTACTTGATTTAAAACCGATTTCGGATGCAGCTTCACCTTCTTCCTGTCCAGTGTCTGGAAACGGTTGATAACACCGTGCTTGCTGAATTTGTGATTATTTACAATCACATTGGGATATAGTCCAGCGCAGATGACAGCCTTCACCAAACTGATGTTTCCGCTGTTCTCATTGCACTCTGAACACTTTGGGTTTGAGTTGGGCACGAAATTCAAGTCGAATAAATATTCGGCAAACTGTTTCTTCATGTTCTCCAGAAGGTTCATTGTGGTATGGCTAAGATAATGGTCCCAGCAGAATTGTTTCTTGTTATTCGTACGCTCGAATATAGTCATGGCTTCGTGGAATATCATGTGGTCACTCATATTGCCATTAGCCAATTTCACCTTCACCTGATCTACATTCCTTTCGCAGCCGAGCGGCATCATGAATGCGTCTTTAAAATCTAAAGACGCCGCCACCGAAAGAATTGGATTCAGGCAGCTGAAAATCGAGCCCAGCAAGATCATCTTTCCAATTTGCGGACTGACCGGCAATCGAGCCAAATGGAATCCTAACGGTGTTAAATTCTCGCTCTCGTCCAACGCGTTCATCCTTTTCAGCAGATCAAGCGAAACCGAAACGGCTTCTGAATCTGGTGGGTTCATCAAAGATTCCAGAAACGCATCCGCTTTGCCGAGCTGCAATAGTTTCAGCATCAATATAACATCTTCGAGTCGTTTTCTTAAAATTTCTGGTTTCTGATATGCCTCCATATACTGTTGCCTGCCACGAGAGAATAAATGGTAGCAAATTCCTGGTTTTACACGACCCGCTCGACCGCGTCTTTGATTCGCATTGGCAATAGAAACCCATTCGGGCATCAACGTTTGTTGATTAGTCTCGACTTTAAAATTGCTTATCTTGATTTTTCCACAGTCTATGACAAAGACAACATCGTCAATGGTTATACTCGTTTCTGCGATGTTTGTGGAGAGGATAATCTTCCTCACGCCCGGCGGAGGTGGCCGAAAGATGAACTTTTGTTCCACTGATGGCATTTGCGAATGCAAAGGAATAATTAGGTATCGGTGTTTGGAAAACTTCCCAGACTTGGACATCATCGTGTTCAGTTGGGAAATCTCGCTGTAACCAGTCAGGAATACCAGAATTGCTCCCGGATCTTTTTCCTTGTTACAAATCATGATGATCAGCTCCATGATCAAATCCAAGTTCAACTCTTCTGAACCTTTCTTCATCAACTCGTTGCACACACGTCTCGGATACTCCTTGTCTCTCATCAGCTTCCTAACGTAAGGCTCGATAAGTGCTTCGAAATCTGCGTTCTTATTCTTTAAAAATCTTCGATTGTCAGGTGGAAACTCGAAGTTAGTCATATGAATAACGTCCTCCAAATAGTATTCGGTGACTTCATAGGTGAACCCAGGTATTTCAGTTAGAGTCGCAACCTTGAAATAATCGCCAAATGCTTTCGCGTTCAATGTGGCACTCATCAGAATCACTTTCAGATCTTTACGCTTCTTGATGACTTCTTTCAACAGAGTTATCAGAAAATCTGATTGTACGTCGCGTTCGTGGATTTCATCGAGTATCAAATGCGAGATACCAGATAAACTCAAATTAGTTTCCATCTTCTTTAAAATTACACCAGTCGTGCAAAAAGTTATAGACCCGCGATTTCTTGGCAAAACGCTAAAAAAATAAAAATAATTAATACATTGAATAATATAAAGAAATTTAAGTATACTTTTCCAGACGAATTTGATATCCAACACTTTGTCCCAAATCCTCAGCCCTTTCTTCAGCTACTCTCTCAGCCACAGAAATAGCTGAAATCCTTCTTGGCTGTGAACAAATGATGCAGCATTGAGATCCAGTCCCTGCTTCCATATGTGAGTCAAGGATGAACTGAGACACCTGTGTGGTTTTTCCACAGCCAGTTTCACCACTGATGATAACAACTTGATTTTCAGCAACAGCTTTCAATATTTCAGAGCGCATTTTATATGCAGGCAGTCTCTGCCTTTGCTGCTGCATATGTCTGTACTTCGGATCAGTCTGCTTCTTGGAATACTCAATTTGCAATAACTGGTCTGCATTTTTGTTTGACTCAAATGTTTTCACTTCAGACAGTTTATCATTGATATTACCATGGAGGACCTTCATGAAATTCGTTTCAAACTTGGAGTTCACATTGTGTTTGTTGAATGGTGCATCTTTTGTTGCTTCTAACAATTTTTGAATCTCCTTCTGCTTCGACTCTGGCAATAACACATTTCCAATCTAAAACATAATTCAGAGTTGATTTAAGCATTCATTAAACTATTATGTTATAACAATTTTACCGGTTTTATGGAGACCTTCTTGTTCTTCTGCTTGGATAGAAATGCATAGTACATTCCAATCTCCCTGCCTTTGAGATGTTTTGGATGTTTGGAGTTGTCCATCGTCTCTGCAGAGGGTGAAGGAGACGACGATCTCTTCCTCAGATTCTTGTTGTGATTGCCGAATTTCTTACCCCTTTTATTCCTTTCTGCAAAAAACCCTGCTTGTCCGGACATCGTTAACGTTAAAATTTGTTTGGTTATACACAATCTGATATTGACATAAATCTTGCATTTCTTTCTAACCTGTACAGTTGTATACAGTCTCGGTTTGTGGAGGGAAGAGATGAAAAATGTAATAGATATGCAACTGGGAAAACATGCATTCAGCAATATTTGTTTATTTTATTTAGATTAACTAATTATTTATCAGCGACTATAATATATGAAATATATTTGTACAAAAATGCTTTGTGTGTGGAATTATTGAATGAAAGAATATATCTTTCAATTTACTGAAACCGGAATTTAAAAATGTTATATGTTTAATTGAATCGGCTGCTTTTTCAGCTATCATTACAGTAGCCGCATTGGTATTAGCGCTTGGAATCGTTGGGATTACAGAAGCATCCGCTACAAAGAGCTTATTAATTCCATGAACTTTGAAGTCGAATCCAACAACGGTCGAAGGATTCGAAGATTCGCCCATCTTCGCTGTACCAACTGGATGGTAGATAGTCAATGTTAAGTGTCTAACGTAACACTCCCAGTAACTTCTGCTATCGAATTGGAACTGCTCACAACCCGGCAATTTCTTAGTGTAAAGTTCTGCACCCATCTTCCTCATTGATGGTGCTTCTATGAATTCCCTTAATATTTCGAGACCCCTGATTAAAACATCCACATCCTCTTTATCACTTAAATATTTGGGATCAATAATTGGCTTGCTTTCGGGATTACCATCGCGGAGCTTAATGAAACCTCTGCTCTTCGGTTTCGTTACTATAGGAAGTAACGTGATCGTTTGGTTGCCTATCAAATTTGAAGTATACTCGTCCCAAATGTTGTCTTTAATTCCAATAATGTGTCTCAGGAACGCTCCGTTATCGGAAATGAAACCCATCGGTAAAGCCATTATTTGCAGATCCGGTGGTGACTTCTTTTTGTCGCTGCAAACATCGAAGTCTTTAGACCGAAAACAATCGGTATGCATAGCACCAAGAGCATCGCACTGTGCGGTGGTCCATGCCCCTTTGCCCTTTACCAAATAATGGAACGGAGCTGTCACATCGAGCAAATCCAAAGTTTCTGATTTTACTTTAAATAAATCGATGCCGGTGCTGACGTGATCGTGGAGGTTCTCTCCCACAGCCAAATCAGCTTTGACTTGAATCCCCAATTTCTCCAAATCGCTCTTTGGACCGATGCCAGAGAGCATCAACAGTTTAGCTGTATCCACAGTTCCTGCGCTTAAAACTACAGCTTCCTTAGCTCGAATTTTCTTAGTCACGCCAAACTTTACAGCTCGAACTGCGCGAGCCTCGAAATTTGATTTGAACAAGATTTCCTCCACCTGCGTCATAGTCAGAAGCTCTAAATTCTTAGGTTTGTTATCCAGAAGGTAATGTCCGGTGGAGTATCGGGCTCCGTTCAGCATGTTGACGTGAGTTTTCATGAAACCCGTACTCTTTTCACCATTCAGATCCCTTACAGGAATTCCAAAATATCGAGCCGCTTCCAACATGTTATCGCTAAGATCAGTAACAAATATTGAATCTTGGACATTCAACGGTCCGTTCTTCGAATGGTATTTAGCTGCAACGGAAAAGAAATTTATATATTAAAGGAAATAACGTCGATGGTATTGCGTTACGATCGAAATTGCTGGCGATGAAGTTTTCTGACTTTTTGAAATAATGCAATATATCACGGTCGTAATCGAAATCCGTTGCGTTCGCGTACCATTCCGCAAAGTCGTTAGGATGTCCTCTCGCGTAAATCATGTTGTTGAAACGACCAGTACCTCCGACCAATTTTCCTCTGGGCCATTTGCATATCTGCAAATTTACAAAATGATAATATTGATAACAACATTGATATGCATCAGAAACGAACGTGATTTTTTAAACCGAGCATTGCGTATTCTTGCGTAACAGTTTCGTACGCGTAATCCAATGGCGATGTTTGAAATAGCGGTAGGAATGCCGGCACATCCAAAAGTCGTCCACCCATTGGTCCTGCCTCAATTAACAGCACCGTTTTATTTGCATCCTCAGCCAATCTCAAGGCGACTACACTACCAGCTGATCCTGCGCCAACTTGTTTTCAAAAATAAATTTACATTAATACACACATTACTAAAAACAATTATCTTACAAACCAATGCAATCACTTACCAACAATGTAATCATATTCTTCGGCGATGGATGCAAACGGATCCCGCAAGAGTGGAGGACAATATTCTATCCAATTGTAGAAAGAAATCAAGAACCAAAATCCTAAGACTGCTACCGAGAAAATCCATTTGAACACCAAACTTCCTATTGGCAACATCATCGATGAAATGAACACTGCAACATAAAAAATCACTTAAAAAATACATTTACTCGCTTGCGCAACCTTTTAATCCCACATAAAACTATTGATGATATTGAGGTTAGGTCCCGTGCATCGTACTAATATGATTACCTCCGACCCTCGGGAATCGCTTAAATGATATGTATTTTTTTAGTCTTCATGCAAAGATCAACGGTTAACAAAAATGTATTGATTAGATATTAAACCAATTTGCATTTGAGAAACCTAAAACATACGTAATGCAATTACAAAGATCCGAACGAAATCATATTCATGTCGATTCCTCTGCCTTCCAAAAGTAGTTAATAATCTCATTAATCATCAACCTAATGATGAACTGTTATGCAATTCAAATATTTATTCATAAAATCAGTATGCAACCCAACGAGCCCATTTATCCTTTTTGCAGATTCATCGTTTTCTTTTGCGGCTTTTCTGCAAACGCAGGAAACAGGTGAAAAAATGTGGAATTTTACTTTGCGCGATTTCACGAAACAAGCAAAAATAATTTCGATTTGTTAACAGTTTCGTATATTCAATTTTAGTTTGAACGATACGTTCTTCAAACTGAAATGGATTTAAAAGTACTGTTGTTTTTCTTGTATTTCGGATGCGCTTTTGCCAGGCAAATATTGCAGGATGCTGATAGAGACGTAGATTGGATGGGCGTCAGTAAAAAGGAACCAATTGGTAAGTTGTTGCGTCGATGGTAATTAGATAATTAAAGTTTGAATTATATTACTTTTAGTTAATGCTAATTATAAGTATGAAGGTTTTGAGAATTCGGATAATTCCAAGAGATCGCATGCGGATGATAAGTATGCGAAATACAAGTGCATGCAGACTTTCGATTTGCAGGAGAGGGCGAGCGATGTTGTGTATGCGAACAATTTGCGTGAGGAGGTGTCCAAATTGCAGGATCTGGTGCAGGTGTTGCGTGACCAACAATATATTCTGAAAATTCTCAACGAGATGGACTCTAATAATCACCAGGACTTCATTCCGCATTCTATGCTGAAGCACTTGAAGAAGATAGATGAAGAAAAGGAGGACTTTGATATAAGGCAAAACGTAGATGGTAACAACGAGGTCGATATGCTGAGGAAAGAGATCGAAGCTTTAAAGTCTACCATCTCCAAGCCGAAGGAATACAGGAAGCTGGACGATGAGATGCACCTTCAACGTGACGAAATACTATTACTGAAGAACATGTTGGATAAGGTTCTCAACAAAAACGATGCCGGTAATTATGGAAAGGAGAAAAGCAATGTTACACAAATGATTTACGAGTTGTCGAAAATCGAAAATAAATTGGGACATATTTCCAATAAGAATAATACTGAAGAAATTTTAGGTTCGGCTGCGCCGAATTTACCTACGAAACAAAACTTATCTTCAATTCACAATTTATCCAGATCCGCGAAACAAAACGACATGGAGTCGATAATGTCTTTACTAGGGAGAAAGGCTAAAAGCAACGTGGATAACGACGAAATTACGATTTTACTCAAGAAATTGAGCAAGCAAAGCAAAACTAATTCGCTGGAGTTGGATGAGGATGATGTGCAGGAGCAGCTGTTGGATCTGCAAAAGAAGCTGAAGAAGAAAAAGAAGAAGAAGACTAGTATGGAGGATCAACTCAAGAAATTGGAGAAACAGATCAAATTGCAGAGCAAAACAATTGATGATGATGATGATGATATTGACGATGATGATGATGAAAGCGATTCTAAGGCTCAGATGAAGAAAATACAATTAGCTTTGAAGAAGTTAAAAAAGAAAGAAAAAGTGCAGAGCAAAACTGATGATGACGATGATGATATGGAGAGTCAATTGAAGCAATTGGCAGTGGTCATTAGAGGTATGCAATCTAAAAACGAAGAAGATGAAAACGATGGGTCCGAATTTAATCTGCATTTGAATAAATTGATTTCGAAAAATAACGGACCTAAACTAAGTCAATCGGAAATCAGGGTTTTGAGGAAAAAGATCATGGCCATGAAACAAGGAAATCATAATAATAACAACCATCATAACAATAATAATGATGATGATGAAGATGATAAACCGGTCTTCAGCTACGAAGAAATCGGTAGCGAGGAAGATTATCCGAAGCACTACAATCCTCCCAATCATTACCAGTACGGTTACAGTAAGAAAACTCAATTCGGTGCTTATCCAAATCCCAATTACGGATACAATCCGTACTACAATCCGAACATCAATTACAACCAATACAGTGCAAATCAGAATTACTATCCAAGACCGAATCATTATCAAAAACAGTTTGTACCAAATCCACCTCCTTATAATCCGAACAGCAATATTGTTAATAACAACAATTACGATTCTAATGCCAACTACAAGCCGAGTTACTCGAGCACTGTTAAACAGTATGCAAATCCGCAGTATTCGCAGGATGCCAAAGTACCAGCACATCCGGCACCGCAAATTCAGTATGCGCCACCGAAAGCAGAAGAGGTTCATCCGCAACCTGCATACGCCCCACCGCCAGTGAAAAGCTCGCCGCAATTTTTTCCAGCTCCATCTCAGCAGAAAATTTCTACGCCGACTTACAATCCGAATCCTCCGCAGAATCTGCAAGAACCGTACGACCATCCACTACAAAATCCGAGCCCTGAGCAGAAAGTTTCCGATCTGAAGAATCAAATTTACGAACTGCAAGGCGTCATCGACACGTTCAACAAACCGGAATATCTTCAGCAACCTGAAGATAAAGAAACCGTGTACAATTTGGACAGGCAAATCAAAGATCTGAAAGTCGTTATAAACAATATAACTCAAGACTATCCAACTTATCAGAACACAGAGGAAGTTAAACCACCAGTTGTTCCTGCAGCCAGATACTCAAGAGTTACAGAGGAGCCGGAGTTTCGCAATTACGATTTGCGTAAGCATCGTAAGATTTTAGATTTGTCCAAAAGGGACGTGTCGTTTGCAGGTGAAGATGATTCCTCACCGAAAATAGAGAATTGCGACGAAAATTACGCGTTCAAACCCAATCCGAAGAATAATGTAAAAAAAACGAGGAATAAACGCAATGGCGAGAGCAGCGAAGAGGCGGAATCTGCACTTGGTGTGCTTACTTCTCTTTTCGGGCAAGCGTTAGGAGCGAGCGAAGAAGAGGCGGAAGATGTAAGAGCTAGAGGTAGTAAAACCCAGCCTAAAGTTTTCGGCGACGTGGAAAGGCGGATCGAGGAGCTCAAGAAACAGTTAGGTAACGAAATCGTTCGCAAAAACTTTTAATTAAAGTCTTATTGTATTATTTACAGGCTCAGTTAATCCGCGAAGCAATTACTATCAGCCCTACTATCCTGGCTACGCAGACGAGGCGGTTGAAGAGGAGAAGGAAAGTAAAGATTTATTTAAGACTAAGAAAAAGAGTAAAAAGTTAGATTTGTTCGAAAAGATATTCGATAAGATATTAAATAAAGTAATTGATAAAGCCAAAGTAGCGTTACCTAAGCTTCTGGAGGCTTTAGTTGGTAAACTGGACTTTAGTAGTTATTATGCAGACGATGGGTACGGCGATGGATATGGTAACGGAGGCTACCAGATGGACAAGAGTTACAAATCCAATTTCGGTCTATCCGGTATCCTGCCGATGATCGTAATCAAAGTCATATCGAACATCAGTTACTTCGTTAGTTATCTGCAGAAATATAGGTTCCTTAGAGTCTTTTTAGTACCAGCTCTTGTACTGTTAATTGTTGCTGGAGCTATAATATTTTTAGTTTGGTGGATGCAACCATCCGACGATTACCAACAGACCAATTACAATGTTAATTCCAATTACGAAGGTGGCAGCAATTATGGAAACAACTACAATACGTATGGTAGTCCTGGATACAGCAAAAAATATTCACCCAATAGCTATAGTAAACCGAATTATAATAATTATAGATCTTCGGAAAATCAAATAAATGACTAGACTTACGTTGCGTTTATTTTATTTAATCCATTGAAATACAATTTACAAACTGATGTTTATTTTAAAATTTAATGTTGGTAGCATTATAGACGCTACTTTATTTTGGTTGGTAATCAATTTTGGAAGTGACGCTCAAGTTCTGTGCACTTTTGTTTCAATGCGTTGCAATACAATCGAAAACATGGATTACGTGCAGAAGACGAAACGCTTGAAGCTGCTGAGGAAACCAGTAGTGTACGACGCAGATAGTGTCTCCAAGGTGCATACAAGTCCTGCGACGATGGGAAATAATCGAAAGGGTATTGGCGAAATAATTTCCAAATTCGCCGATCACATTCCGAGGCAGTGGAGTCCCGATGATGCAAAACCACCAGGTTTATATTTTTCCTTAATTAATTTACTTCATTTTGTTTACTAATCTTTATTTTGAACAGAGATCTACGTAATGCTTATCTTCTTGATGATCAGCTTATTGGGAATATATTATTTTGAGACGTCAAACAACCAGATGTGTAAGTAATTCATTATTAAGAAAGTTAATTAACTAAGTAAATTATTATTTTTTTTCAAACAGCAAAAACAACGATGGTTCAAACATTCAAAAACGTCGATCGTGCATTGTTCGAACTGCAACTTGAAGTCAGTCACTTAAGGAAACAATTGGAACGGTAAACAATACTTTGATCATCTTTTGTTTTTGTCAACTGAATCGTTTCATTGCAGTACGAACGATCCGGATAATATTGAGAAGAGAATCACGGATGCCTTGGATCTTTACGACGCCGACAAAGTTGGCATGATAGGTATTTGCCACATATTCAAGTTTTTTTCAAAAAATTATTAATACGATAATTTTGCAGATTTCGCTTTGAAAAGTGCAGGAGCTTCTATTGTCGATACGCCGGATACCAAACCACATCCCACCAAATTGGTCTTCTACGCGTGGGGAATTTTCGAGTTCAAACTGTACTCGAAGCCGGAGTCTCTGCTCACACCTGGAACACAACCTGGCGATTGTTTTTCTTTCAGTGGAAGCAGCGGTCGCGTTCAGATCCGTTTACCAAGACTGGTCGAAATTGGAGCTGTGACTATTGATCATGTCAGAGCTAATTTGGTTAAAGATAGAACAAGCGCCCCAAAGGATTTCAAAATTATTGTAAGTCTTGCAATAACTTAAAATTTGTATATAAATCAAAGAAATTTATGTTTTCAGGGTTTCAGTGATTCCGACAAAGAACCACAACTTTTGGGCGAATTCGTGTACAACATCGATGGTCAACCGGTGCAGACCTTTAAAGTTTCCAGTTTGGGGAAGAAATTTCGTTACGTTGAGTTGAATGTTGCGAGCAATTACGGCAACCAAGAGTATACATGCGTTTATAGAATTAGGATTCATGGACAGGTGTAAATCTATTGCAGTTCCTCCACTAAATGTTCTTTATTACTTGTTCATTGATTCACATTCCTGTTTATTTGTTATTAGTTAATGAAATAAAGTTCTCTTTACTTGTTCATCCAAAAGTATAGATTTAAGTTGATTTCAGTTTCAAGTTATTGTTAATACTAATAATTATATTTACCTAAATAAATGTTACTTTAAAATGTTTTTCTCAATAAAAAATATTTTCAGTTACTGGACAGTTTTAAAACATAAATTTATATAGGCTGCGGTGTCCGAGTGGTTAAGGAGATGGACTTGAAATCCATTGGGCTCTGCCCGCACAGGTTCGAATCCTGTCCGCAGCGTTCGTTTTGCTAAAACAAATAATTTTAATTGTTTTTTTAATTATACACCAAGTTAAATTGAACCATTATATTTTAAGTGTTTTATAACAACTTTAATAATTTAACGTTTAATTAATTATTATTCACAACATCTTTAAAGTAATATAGAGTATCAATAGTTAATTTACTAAATTAGTTTTATACTTATGCAATTACATATATGCACACAAAGTTTATAACATGATTTTTTTTTGTAATTTTAGTTGGTTTTTCATAAATTTATAAAAAAAAATGTTTGAAAAATTCGAATTGGATGAAATGTTTAAAATAACAATATTATTATTATTACTTGAGAAATACAATTTTGATTTGAATTTGATAATAAACGAAGTTGTTATATAAGCTGTGGTGTCCGAGTGGTTAAGGAGTTTGACTCGAAATCAAATGGGCTATGCCCGCACAGGTTCGAATCCTGTCCGCAGCGGTTAATCCTTTTATTGCATAATATTACTAGCTTACATCATCATGTTTTCTAAATATTCTTCAAACTTAAATCAAGTATTATAATTTGTTTTTTTAGACAAGATTTATTGTTTGTTTTAGAGCTAAAAGTACTTGCTTTATTTTGATAACAGAATTAGTAAAAATCTGTTAACAAGAGAGAATAATCTTTGATTACAAAAATTCCGATAGATGTCATCAATAGTTTGATTCTTAGTTTTGTTAACTTTATATTTTTCATCACTTTTTCATGTATGTTACAAAAATATTTAATAGTATTTTAAATATTATTTTTCTTAATTAATAAAAATAATACTTCAATTTACTGCAGGATTTATACTAATGTTTGGTATTGAAGCAAAAGAAACGCTGCGGACAGGATTCGAACCTGTGCGGGCAGAGCCCAATGGATTTCAAGTCCATCTCCTTAACCACTCGGACACCGCAGCTTATATAAGTAAATAGCACATAACCAAACACGCGTTACAGCAATAACTTCTTGTTAATTAACTAGATACAATTAACTAAAATAATATTAAGAAACTAAACTTACTTTATTTAAACTAATGCAACATTACTTCGCAAAGGTTTGAATTGTTATAACGGAGCGAGCGCATGTCTAGTATTTATCGACTTGGGCAAATTTGGTCCTTGCTTCGATGGAAGAGGGCGCTAAAATGCACTTTAAACCTTGATCAAAGTTTAAATTATGTTATTCCTCATTGTTATGGCAATTAGTTTTAGTGCTGTTTTATGTTATGCTAAATATAAATACGTAATTGATCTAATGTTGAGTAATTGTTATATAAATATTTATATAATTATTTTCTTTATTTAGTTAATATTTAACCTAGTGTTAACTTTATAGGATCAGAAATAAATTGGTATTATATATGACCTAATTTTCAAATAACTTTTTTTTTGAGATTTAAAAATTTAGTTTCTTACTAATTAGAAAATGACCGAAATATTAAGTTGTTTGTCTTGTATTAACATTTATAATATTAAATTAATTATTTTTTTTTATTACATTATCCAAAAGTTTTGTTGAAAATGAGAATCGTTGAATTCTCTTCATGTTTCATGTAAATCCTGTTGCCAACAGTTGACATCTACGATTTCAAAAAGTTTCTAATTTAATGATTTGAAGAGTTTGAAAAAAATGTATCTTAATAACATGATGATTATATTATAATTGTATGAAAAATTGTAAAGAAACATTAAAAAATATTTAAGAAATGATCAATTTTTAACTGGAATTGATGAATTTTTGCTCACAGTTCATTTTCATAAAATCTAACAGAATTTCTATGATTAATGATTAAGTTTTAAAACATGTATCAGTTTTAATGTGTGAAATGGTTTAATTTTTATATTTAGATGTATCTAGTGACATTGCTTCAAAAGTGAAGTAATGAATAAGTTTGATGTTTGATTATAACTGTTAAGATTGTTCAAATATTGTAGATGTGAGTTGTGTATTCTAGATGTTGTTAAGAATGTATTTAAAGTTATGAGGATATTTGGTCTTCAGCTGTAATGGAGATGTTGTAGATTTTCGAAAGACCCAGGCGTGTTTGTGCGGCGTCGCGACGCGCGTCAGGCGGAGGAGAGGCGCGCGTCGCAGCAGTTTCTATGTGTGCCACGGAGAGTCGGGCATCGAGGAGGGCTATTTACCCCTAAAAAACAGAGATCATCCCCGGAATATTTTTGGGTACGAAAAAAAAAAAGAGAAGGGTGGAATAGCGTTGTTGGATGGACCGATGGGGAAGTGGACTGTGGGAGAAGATCGCTTCTAAGCTTTTCTGAATCGCGTTCGAGCGACGACGAGAATTCCGGAGTCGCGGATGTAAAATCAATCGGCGGGGGAGGCTTTTCCGCTAGGGTGTGTTGTTGTTGTTATTAAGTGCGCCTCCTGCAGGATACCGAAACCCGTGTTCCCTGGGCGTGTGTTGCAGGAATCAGGCAAATACTGAAGAGCAAAAGAGTGTGGATTGGAATTTCGGACGTCTCTCGGTTGGTTCGGGGGTGGAAAATTCGCGCCCGCCTAGAGTGATCTATGTATATGTACGGGGGGGAAATCCCGTGAGCGTTTTACAGGAGTGTTCGCCATTTTGACGTGCGGAGTTGTTAGGCGGATTCGGACTTCTGCTTTTGCGAAATTCATCTTCCTTGGAACGCACCCATCTCTGGATTTACCATCTACCACATCGACCAGGTAATTACCAAATCCGAACCCATCAATCCACCCATCGCCAACAAAAGAAATAGCCATGAAGCAAAAAACACCTATTAATATTCATGTTTAAACCAATTGATTTTAAACAACCTCCCCGTTTTTTTTTCTCGACAATTCGAAAAGCGAACTTTTTTTTTAAAACTTCGCAGCTTGGACCCTTCCCAAGGATATTTGGGTCATAATATTTACGTTCGCAAGTAATCGATGCCTATTTCGCCAAACATACTGTGTGCTTGTCGCAGACGCGTTTAATTATCAAGTGACCACACAAACACACACAAAAAAATGAACCAGAAAAACAAATCGATTTGAAAAAAAAATATGAACCCTTTTATTAGTTTCTTCCCATTATCAATGATTCAACATATGGTATGATTACATACAACAGCTGTTTTTCTCCACGTCAAATAAACTCCCTTATTCATCCCTTATTTTCATTATCCCTTTTCTGAAACTGAGAGGAAAACGAATGTTTGTATTTGTAGTAGTTTTTTTTCTCGGCAATTCCAAGCATTGCTCTCCGGGGGAAATTACCGAGTGGACATGAGACAATGGCCGATAATAAAGTAATTTCATTTGTGTAAAAAAAAAATATGTATATAAAACATTGACTAGATGAACCATTTTCATTGATTGCGCCTAATTTGTGTACCATTCAATTTGTCTTTTCATCAGGATTCGAATGAGGATGCTTCGTCCGTTCAACAATTAGCATGAAGACCATCAGACATCAACTATTTTTTGGTAAGTCTATTTGATGAGGTCAAAACTCTTGTTTCTTGTTGCTTTAAGTGTATATTTTTTTTTATTACAATTATTTTCTTTTTCTGTTTTAACATCGAGTCACGCCAATGCATCCCCCGCACGAGGTTTTCCCCAAACGCCATTTTGAATTTCATTTAGTCCAGATTAAAATTATATAATAAATGCGCTCTAGATTGACCTCATTTGATAAAAAAAAATATATGTATATGTAGTGGTTTACGTACAGCCGTATAGTAACTACATAACTAATTCAATTGTATAGCATTTTCTCAGGTTCCCAGTATGCTAATAGTAAATATTTTATTATAACCCTTATATAATGTTTTCAAAAAAATTCTTACAAATTACACAGCTTTGAAAGCGCACATTTTTGCTTCAAATTTGCACGTATTCATTAAAATAGTTCGAATAGAAATACACAAATTTTATTTCAAAGAAATATTTGAAATCTTTACTTAGTTAGTTTAAAAATGTACACAATTCAGTTACATCTAGTTTTTTTTTCTCATTTTACAACAGAATAGGAATATTTCAAATTTATCTATTTATTTTTGAACATCAATTAAAAATAAATTGATAAATTAATTTATTTTGTTACCTTCCAGATTTATTTATTTTGTAAAATGAATTGGACAAAAATATAATATTTTTTTATCAAATTTCAAACAATATTTTAAAAAGTTTCATTTTCAAATTTGTTCTTAATATATTTATATAAAAATGATACAAATGTACACAATTCAGTTACATCTAGTTTTTTTTAGGATTAGGAATATTTAAAATTTATCTATTATTTTTGAATATCAATTAAAAATAAATTGATAAATTAATTGATTTTGTTACCTTTCAGATTTATTTATTTTGTTAAATGAATTGGAATGAATTTCAAACAATATTTTAAAAAGTTTCATTTTCAAATTTGTTCTTAATATATTTACATAAAAATGATACAAATGTACACAATTCAGTTACATCTAGTTTTTTTTTCTTATTTTACAACAGAATTGGAATATTTCAAATTTATCTATTTATTTTTGAACATCAATTAAAAATAAATTGATAAATTATTTGATTTATTTATTTTGTAAAATGAATTGGACAAAAATATAATATTTTTTTTATCAAATTTCAAACAATATTTTAAAAAGTTTCATTTTCAAATTTGTTCTTAATGTATTTACATAAAAATGATACAAATTTTGGAAAAGATGAATTAATTGTACAAAAATTTGTAAAATAAAATAATTGGTTTATTTTTTTAGATAATTAGTGAAATAAATGAAATTAAACTCGTATTTCATTCAATTACAATACGTGATTACAGAACATGTTGTCAAACATTGTGAAAATTGAAGCAATTAGAACTCATTACCGAAGCGAACCAATTAATTTAAAATAATCCATTTTGCTCGGTGTTTTGTTTCGAAAATGAGAAACCTATTATTTAGTCTGAAAGCACTGCAGATCGTTTGATAATTAGCAAATTACTAAAAAGTCGATATATAACTGTGCATGGAGGAACAAAGAGAGAGAGAGAGAGAAAGAGAAAAACCGTCGCTTTTCTGCAGGGAGACGAACAAATGTAATAAACTATTCACTTTTAATTAAGGTGCTTTCATAAAAGTTTCATGAAATCAGTTTTCATTTCGCATTCAATTTACCGTGCTACTTTTCTCCCTCTCTCTCTCTTGCACAACTCGAAATACGCAGTGTTCCTTGTTTTACGTAATTACAGGTAATATACTTTTTTGTGTGTAAAGAAATGAAAGGTTTATTCTGTTTGTGTAGGAAATGTATCAAACTATTTTATAAATATTTCAGACAATTTTGTAAAGATTTTTTTTATAATGTTTTTATATTTGAAACTATTCAGAAAGGTTTTTGGTCATAATTAGGTCCAATAAAAATCTATAAATAATTTGAAAACATATTCTTCTTTTGATAAAAAAAGTAATTTTAAATTAATTATTACCTTAATATGGAAAGTAATAGAATTAACAAAACGCTATAGTTCACTAAAAACTTGTTAATACAACTTGGATATTATGCTGAAAAAGCATTTGAAATAAGCTGTGTTACTTGACAAGTAACTTAATATAAAGTGTTTGAGTTTTGTTGCTGAAGTATCAAAAACAGTTGAAAATGTGTTTGTGTTTGATTGCGTTTTGGTGAAATTTGGTTTCAATAAATTATGTAACTTTGAAAAGTGTTTGGATGAAAACAGGTGTAGTAAAAACACTGAAAAAAAAAACATAGATTTATTAGAAGTTCTCGATTACGATTAATTTCCCAGTTCTCGTTATTACAGTTATGACTAATCGCACAATTTGCTAATGACTAACGTTTTCACGTCAACACCTTTTCATGCATTATAACAGGAAATTCGTTTAATATCAGGCCATTTCATATGTATGTAATTGTAATTTTATTCCATCAAAATTACACGAAATTACTTCAAGGAATTCTGTACAATTAGGCAAAAAAAATGGAAATAGGTGAAAAAAGAAGATGCATCAATGAAGTATTTTGATCTTTGTAAAGGTATTAACAAATGTTATTTATTGCAGTAAACGAAATCTTTAATGTACATAAAAATTGTTTGAATTTGAAAGTAAATTGTGTTTGGTTCTTTTTGTGTATTGTAAAGTCAAATATTGTTTTAGTCCAACTAACAAAGATTTTGCAACAAATTTTAGTTTAGTAAACTGCATTCAATAGTAACGTTGCAACGACAATAGAAATGCTTTTGAATCGTTGCACCGATTGACGTTTAAACAAAAGCTATGTGAACGCGATCGTTTGTAGTGTACATTTTAAATATTCTGCACCATCGATTCATTTCTACCTTTTAAGCACAATACAAACAGTTGCAATACTGGGAAACCGCAAAAGAACATTATTTAAATGGGTGCGTGCATTTAAACACATTTCGGGGGGAAAATGTTAAGTTATTAAAGTTGGTCAAGTGGAAAGGTCAAGAACCCTCCAGTTGAGAAGGGTTTAGAGGGATGCCCGAACGCTGTGACCATTGAATATTCTATTAACGCAGCGTTAATATCATAAATTTCCAACATCAGTTAGTATTTTCTTCTTTAAACACAATTTTATAATTGAGTTTTCATAACGGAATATCAGATGAAGTATAAATTTTATTAGTTCTCAACTTCCTCCGAAAAACACATCAAATATTATGTTTATTGCGAATAAAACCTAACGTGAATGTAATTAATTTTATGTTATATAATTTCGTTATAATCTAATCGTTTACTGCGAACTATCTACTGTTATAAACTTGCTATATGAACTTTTATATAAAGCATATTTGTAACAACCCTTTATTGTTGAATTGGAGCACGTTTTCATGTGCTGGATAGAGGAAAATTTCTGTTGGAAGTGAAGATGAACATTTTCCTCATTACTCCTTCGCCTTGTGCAGCGGAAGGAATCCGCGGCAAATATGAAATGTTTCACGTGCCTTTTGCAGGTTTTTAATTTTCTGCCAAGCGGTGGAAAAAAATCCTCGCAATTTTTAATTTAACTCCTTTGCTAAATAACATGCAGACGAAATGAATGTAAATGAAATTTTATTACTTTGAGAGAAAACCGTGACATTATCATTAATTCTATGTTCATTGAAGTAAAGAGAGCTTTTAACTTCTTGAACTGAATATACAATAAAACGTACTGTAGCAATCATAATGCATTAACGCAAAATATTTACATTGTTTTTGATATAAAAATATTATTAAACGTTATATGTCATTCATCATAATTTGACGTTTAATGATTGTCAAATGTCAAATATTTGACAGCTGACGTTTGATAAAGATACATAAAATTCAAATAAGATTTATTTATTTTTTAGCTAAATATAAATAAAATGATACTAAAATTAACACGTTTTATTTAGTGATAAAGAAATTCATATATTTTGCTATTATTACATGATTTATTTTAAAATTATCGATTATGTAATGAAGTTTATTAATATTAAAAAAATAAGTACCATTAAAAGTGTAGAATACTATTAAAGCAGATATAAAAGGTGACCAAGTATGTATATTTAGAGCACGAATCTATAGCGAAATATCATGTCGTGGCTGTAATAAATATGACGATCGTAAAATGAAAGCAATGGATGGATACTAAAATCACAAAGCCAAATATACTTTAAGCGCGGATATCTGATCTTACATTCCAAGAACGTTGGAAATAAGATGTTGAAGTTGTAAGTAATCGAGAACTATTCAGTTTTATTGCAATTGATATTTTTCTCATCTCTACAATTACCTTCATGCCATAATACTCTATAACCTTAATACTCATTGCTCAAGTAATTTTTCTATTTATCTGTTATTTTTGTTCTAATTTATGATACTTTTGATTTCGATGAAATTTAAGATCATTTTCAAAATTGTTAACTTTGTAATAGCTGAAGATTATAAAATAGTTTTCAGTGTTTAAAAACTAAGTAAATAATTGAATCTTATTTACTTAGGTACGCTATACAACTGACACTAATCTGGACAAACTAAGACTAACTGTCTTTACATAACATTCATAACTTATATTAGGAATCCACGTCAAACTAAATTCAAAGCAAACCCAAGTTAACCTTACTAAACCTAACCTAAGAATATTCTACATTTACGCTAGTACTCAAATAAGATTAGTGAATATGCTAGTTTAATCTTAACAAAATTATATAAGAAAAGAATGTTAATTTTTAAAAATGAACCAAATTAATTCATCAAAACAAAAGCTATCTAAGAATGTTTTGAAATATCATAGTTATGTATTTTTTTATATATTTTGTACGTGTATTTTGTTAATTGGATTTTATTGCAATTTGTGTTGCAGGGTTGCTGTAGAGATGTTGTAGGCGGGGTGCGGGGGGATTCCCCCCCTATAGACCTGGCGCCGCCATCACGGATCACCACGGCGACCGGCACAGGTGAGTCTGCTTGGAAATCCCATAGATAAGCAAATAATCGAAAGGGGATTCCTATTGGATTCGTTACGTTATTTATTTTTCTTGTTCTTCTTCTCCTCCACCGTCTGTTGGCTTTTACAATATACGTCTAGGATTTCCAAAAGCAATGAATTATCCATACATTGGCCGTTCGGGCGTTCTGTTTTTCTTGTTTTCAGGTGAATTCGAGATGGAAATAATGAAAAGAAGGGAAATATAGAGGGAAAGAAAAAAGTAATTAGAAAGTTTCTGGCCTTGGCCCTAATATCCGCCGGGGATTAAGTAAATTCGTCTGGAAAGGGAGGGAATCCGGGGGAGGTAGGATAGGATGGATTTTGTAATTAATTGGACTTTTGATCTGGCCGTAGAAACTATGCGGCTAATTAATAGTTGGAGCAAGTTGCGGGGTTTGAGGTTCGGTAATGATGGAAAAATCTTTTGAGTGTGTCGAATGATGAGTGCGGGATAAAGCGAAACGCGCGGTCCGTTTTGATTGCACATACATGGGGGAACTATTGATTAGTCCGGTGGATAGAAATGCGCGCACAGGCGGCTGTGGAGGCGGCGGTGACGATGACGGTGGAGGAGAGGAGAAGAGGTGGAGGCGGCGGTGGCGGAGGTAGAGACTTCGCAGCGAATGCATAAACAACGAATTCCGCAAAACATGCTTGCTTGCATACGCGCATACTTGCACAGTTCGGTGGACTCCCTTAAACATTACCCGAAAAACCTATAATTTTTGTTACGCGGTTTCTGTTAAAAAGTTCGAGGGAGAAATTTGAAGGCGATTCTCTTGATTTTTTTTTCTTCTTCTATTCTACTTATTTTCATCGTTAGTTTGCGAGTGTATTTCGCGTTATTGTATTGGAGTGGGGCCAAGGAAACAATTTGCGGCACGTTAAAGTTTCGGTAGTTGGCGGAGTAAAAGTTTATTTATCGGCAGAGGGAGGGAAGAAGGGAGATCAGTGGGGTGGTTGTGCTTATTGGATCTGGCTTAGTATGAAAATTCGGTTTGCAGATGTCCTGACAGCGGGCCCGGGGCCACCAGGATGCCTACGGAGGAGGACTATGCAAGGAGACAGGTCTTGCAGCGCGGCTCGCCGGCGCCAGCCCCTTGCCCTGCTGGTTGTCCTGCTGCGGTTCAGCTGGTACCCGCAGAGAGGTTCCCAACGAGTTATGGCAGCGAGAAGATGCTACACGGAGATAGGTACGAGCCGCAGGAGAGGTACCAGTCGACGGACCGCTTTGGTTCGGAGCGGTCCCATTCAGATCGATTGCCATCGGGAGAGAGGTACCACGGTGTGTCTGAGAGGTACCCGTTGGGCGGCGAGAGGCCGACGACTGCGGTCTCTTCGGAGAGGTTGCAACCGGAGAGGCACCACTACACGGACCGCCGATACCAGGAGCGGAGTATTGGCTCGCTGGACAGGTTCCACAACGGTTACACTAGAACCAACACACCGACTGATAGATATAGCACATTATCTAACGATAAGGATAGATGCGTCAGTAGTGATAGATATGATAAGTACCAAAGCGGCGATCGCCATTCGTCGAGCCAAAGCGTATGCTCTCCTGCGGAGAGGTACGCTTCGAACGTTGGTTCCAAGACTCTACCATCAGAGGTTTACAAATATAAGGACAGGAGCAAATACACCACGCAGGGAGGATTCCAGCAGCAGCAGCAGCAACACCAGCAGCAGCAGCTCCAGCAACAGCAGCAGCAGCTCCAGCAACAGCAGCAGCAGCTCCAGCAGCAGCAGCTCCAGCTCCAGCAGCAGTACCAGCAGCAGCAGCAACAACAACAACCAACCCAGCAGCAGCTATCATCAACCCAGCAGCAGCAACAGCAACCACAACTACAACAACAACCTACCCAGCAGCAGCAGCAACGATATGAATACGAGCGGTACCAACCAGAACGCTACCCAGCGATTCCTTGCCCGGAGCGTTTTGCCACCCAAGACCGCTCATCTTTTACTCAAGTACCTTACATGGAACCACCGTCTCCGGCGCCCGCCAGTGACAGGTTCATCCCTCCCCCACCTCTCTCTCCAGCTGACACTCCCAGCCCTGAGTGTTACCCTTCCAACCCCTTCCCATCCCCAACCAACAACGTCCCAGCAGCAACGACCTTCATCCCGCCGCCCCCGTTATCCCCGTCCCCCACAGAGAACTACTCACCAAAGCGATACCCGACGCCCACCCAGTACAGACAGTACTACAACAACTACAACCAACCCACAACCACCTACAACCCACCGGCCCCCGACAAATACCTAGAGCAGCGATACACGAGCGACCGGTACGTTCCTCCGAACGCCCATACACCCGTAGATCGTTACGTACCGCAACCGCAGGAACCCTACTACTATTACTCTCCCAACTACCAGAAATTCAATCCTTCTTCTGATCCTTACATGCGACGCGACCTCAATTTTCACTACCGCCTCCCAGTTCCATATCCATCGCAATATCCGCAACGCATCCGCTACTTGAACACGCCGAACCGCATCAAATGTTGCCAGTTCCAAGACCAAAACTTTCAAATCTCCAAGTCCAGTCCGGGCTCCAGTTCGAGCAGCTCCGTCACCAGCAACCAGGGCAAGGAATACTTGAGCCACGCTAAGCCCGAGAACCTACCAGATATTCAGTGCCAAAATTACCCCACTTACCAACTTCAGCAGCAGCAACAACAGGAGAAGGCTATTCAATGCAATAAGGACCTGGTCCGTAAACAACAGCAGCAGCCTCCGCAGTCCTGCAGGCATGGGATCTGTCCCAGTCCTAGCGTCGAGTACATGGGCGCATCCGGAGGGCGGCTCGTCAGTGCCACACCACCGCCTCCCAATAGGGGTACACCCGCTCCCGATGGCGCCTGCAGCGACACCTGTTGCAACCGGAAGCCACCCACGCAGCAGAACCTCACCGTATCAGTTTGGTAAGTTTATTCACAATTTAGCATAAATAACACAACTGAACAGCATTAAAAATATACAATTTAGTTTTTTGAAATCTACTACAATTATAAATTAAACTCATTTCAAACATATAATGAATTATATCAGTTGAAATTTCACAATCTACAAGACACTTGTAGCAAACGATCCAGAATTAAAAATACGATTATGTCAAAGTATTCTTTACAATAATTTCGATGGGCATAGTATTTTTATGTTACATGATAAATAAATAATAATTTGGTAGTCAAGCAATAAATGTTGCTTAAGTTTAAACTAGGTGATGACGGTTTGCGCTTCAAAGTTAATACTCTACCTAAAGCGGTCGTAAAAGTTTTGAAAACGTTAGGTATAAATAATGGTCACACCTCGGATAAAGACTTTGTTTACAATAGTTTGTGTTAATATAGTCTAGTTTACATTAAGAGTGTACCATGGTACGTAATAAACAGTAATTACTAACGTGTATTGTGCACACAAACACGACGTGATTGGAGGGACACCAGAATTTCAGTCTGCTAGATTCATGACCGCAGCTCATTTTCGTGGTGGCGCGATTATTATTTGAAAAGATCGTCCTCCGTGATTGCATGCATACGCGTCTAATGGAAACGTTTCTTCGGCGCAGGAGGAGGAATCAATAGCAGCGTGCTTCATTTGAAATGCAACTACACGCTCCTTGCAAACTACCCCTCAACTATAAACAATTTTTCGATATATACAAAAAAAAAATCCTAACTATGAGGAGATTAGACGAAATGTAGTGAGTTAGGCAGAGTGAAAAAGAGGAGAAGCTTTTAATTGGAAGCTCAAAATGTTCTCTCCGCAGCATGTAGCGAATTTTAAAAGGGATGTAATGCTATTACGCGCATGAGAGAGCAATTTCCCGTTGCCTCGTTATCTCGTTTAAATCCCAACGATTTTCACTGCCACGTGGAATACAGTCCAACGAACGGGAAAACTGATTTCCAATGGGGGAATAGAGGAGAGAAGAGCAGGATTCACCTGCTATTTAAAAATTGACTCGAATATAACTCGGCTTAGCTTATTTAACTTTCGCAACAACATTGACTACTAATTATCGCTGCTAATTGATTTAGATCAATTCCACATAAAATACTCACAAATATTTTTTTTTGTATAAAGAAAACCCAAACAATACCACATATTTCTCAAATATTCCTACTACTTTACTCAGATATCTTCATAAATATATATGACAAAATATACATATTAACATGTACAAATATTTTCAAACATTAGTTATGAAATCCATATTGTATAGAGTTAACAAATTTTGAATTTTCACTGAAGTTAGTAAGTTACCATTTATTCAGTACGAGTTTCAAGTGAAAATATATCAAGTACAAAATGTTTGCAAACATTTCGCTTTACATCACAAAATAATAAATTAATGTTCTTTGAAGTAAGCTAACATTATTATTTTTAAGTGTGCGTATTTTCATGTCACCACAACAAAAATAAACGCAAACATTTTGCAAATATTTCGTTTTACATCTCAAAAGCAATACAAATAGAAAAATTCATCAGACCGACGAGCGCATAAATATTTTTGATATTTTAATATACGTGAAACGTACTTGCGCAACAACTGTCGTCGTCTCTGTTTTTAAAAGAAATTCCAGTAGAAGACATCTGTTTGATCTGAGATATTAAATAATTTCCATGCAAATATTACTTTGTGCTTCTGTGAATATGCCGGAACGTTTGGATGTTCGCAGACGCGAATCTTTGCAAATTGTTCGTCCAGAAAAGAAATTACTTCGAACGAACGACGTGCAACGAAATTGCAAGTTTATGTATATGCATATAAAATGCACTGCATTCGTTTACTATTTTTTTTGCTGTATCTTAGTGAATCTGAGAAAATTCGAAGCTTTTTCTGTTTGGCTTTAAAAGATAATTGAATTTCCGAAGGGTTAAGTTAGGGTTAGCAAGGACTTCCTGCTTCAGTTATCAGGGTATTGTAACACGAAGTTGCATTGTCGAGAAGCAAGTCATTATAATTCTGGACAATACAACAAAGAGAATAGTATATTGAAACAATGGACTTGTGTTATCAACATTCAGCACGTTCAGATTTCGTTCGAAATCTTGCGCGTAACATTCAGATTACCTTGGGAATACCTCAAGGAAATGTACTAGGTCTTATTGTATAAGTTAATTTCTTTAGCAAAGTCAAGTTAATTAATATTTTAATTAGCTTCAAATTTCTAAAGAAAAATTAACTGGAAATTTTCATTTGGTTGTATAAAATTAGTAAATTGAAAAAAAAACTGAAATGTAGAAAATCGTCATATTTTATTTATAGAAATATTTACACTGCACTTTTATGAATGCCATTTTTTAAAGCTTTGTCCTCTTTTTATTGTAAATTTTAATTAATATTGCGAGACTTTTCTAATTAACGAGAATTAAAAACGACACGTATAAATTAATCACGTACAAATTAAAAAAAAAAAAAATACGTAAAACCTTTACACAGTATCAATTTCAATGTGATTAATTATAAATTTAATTATGTATAATTCGATTATATTATGTAATTTATAAAACAGAAAGTAAATAACCATTTTCATTTTGTAATTCTGAACTATTATAAAGATTCTATCGTGCATGAATTGGTGGTGGATTCTCGAACGTCGGGTCGTTGGATGCAAGGAAAAAGGTATCAAAGATCGTCGGTAAAAGTATTCAAAAACGGGGTTAAGAGCAGATGCGATGCTTCTTGCATCCTCAGCTGAATATCGTCGGGTCGGATCAATTTATCGTCGACTTTATGATTGTACTATTAGAACTTGGCCTGGGACGTAGTTATCGGAGACCGAAACGTCCTTTTAAAAACTCAATATTTCCAATCTTCGCCTATTTTTTACTCCTCCATTCTCTCTCCGATTGATGTCAAGTGGCTCGCATGAAATCAGCGGAACGCAGTGTTCAACTTTCATTGCACATACGGACGAAATAATATATACAGATAAATCGATTTAGATTTCATGCATATTGCGGAAATTGAGTTTTACTATGGTGATTTTCTATCGAACATATTTGTACGTTATATGTGAGTAGGTCATGATTACCAGTTTCAATCGACCAAAATTGCATCGCTTTTTGATGAAGGTAATCTAGAGCAGAGATTCTAAACCTATGGGTTGGTTATATTTTTAATGTGTCACGAAATGACAACCTTGTCACCTTGTGTCAAAGTGTAAAAAATTTATATTATAAAGTACAACAATAGCTAAATATGTTGAGAACCGCTGATTTAGAGATTTTTTTTTATGAAATCTTACTTTTATTTTATAATATCATCAACGTATAATAGTAATGAGGTACGTATTATTATTATTATAATCCTATCACTTTATTTACTAGTTTTAAATACATTTTCAAACAGTTTTTGCAATAGAGAGTCGAACCGAAATTAATTTCGTTCCGGTTTACGGTTACGTTTCAAGTAAATGTTTATCGTTCCAGATTAGGTTTCGGTTTGTCTAAAAAATTCGGTTCAGTTCCAGTTGAAATTAAAATTTAATGGTTGGTTTTGTTTATTATGTATTTGTTTAATTGAAAAATAATTCGGAGTATTCAAAGACTTCATGTCTCTTATAGATTGTTTGTTTATATACTCTATTCACAATAGAACGACCAACACAATATCGATTTTTTTTTAAATGAACCGAAATTAACCGTAATTAAAATTTCGTTCCGGTTTCACATTTTTAATTCAGCAAGTTTTCGTTCCGGTTCAGTGAAAAAATCCGGTAAATTTCGGTTTACGGTTTTCGGTTCGGTAAATAAAAAATCATAACATATAAATTACAATGTTTGAATTCTTATGAAACTCAAACATATTATGTATGTGTACTCCAGTAGAACGAATAATAATGATTCAGTATCACAACAAGTGATATTAACACAATTTGCATGACTCAATAATCTCGTGGACGAAGGTCAGCTTCTATTATTTACTCTGTTTACGCATATTTACACGTAATATTTGTTTTCCAATTAAATTTTTGTTGTTGAATTATTGTATGATATTAATCATAAAAATAATTTAAAAAAAAAACATAATTAACAAAGTTAATTCATATTTAATATATATAATTATTAATTAATAATATGCAGATTTGTAAAACTTTTATCATTACATTGATTACATTCATTAGATTTTTTTTTATCTGAACATTATCAATTAATAATCCATAATAAAACCAAAAATATATTGATTATTTTCGAATAGAAATAATCAAAAGAAAGTGATATAATTTGCAACAAAAAAAAAATGGAGAAATGGATAAAATGATTATCTTATTACAAAATGTGTATTTATAGACACGTTATACAAAACTGTATTATCTTATTGATAAAATCGAAAACTTTAATTGAATTTATAAAATTAAACGTTATTTTTTTTTTAATTTTGTTTTAATTTATTTACATTGTATTTTTAAACATTTAACAAATTTGATTAGTCGTAATTTTTTATTTGTGAACTAATTAAATGTATCGATATTTTTCAAAATCATAATCAAACTAATTTGAAAATTTCACATGTATGATTCAGACTTAACAAGTTGAGACATTAAATTCTGTAGTTGGTATTTTTTTGACATACTTTTATGTCTCATGCTAAGTACAGTGTGGATGTTGCATAATTATTGTTAGATAATTATTATCTTCTAATGTAGTTTTATTAAGAAAACTATAGTAATAATAGAGTAGTTTTTTTAATATTAACTAGAAGATAGACATACCAGGAAGAGCAGAGTTTTATTGGTTGCATAAGATGTATCGAGCTGGGTCAAGACTACTTTCTCCAACGGTATTCTCTCTTGTGTGTAGTGTATATATATTTTTATTTTGGGGAAAGTTAATTATGCGGTTGCGAGCGTTTCCGAGGCCGCCGTCTATTGCGTTAATTATCTGAGTGTACGAGTAAAGATAGCAGCGATTT